ATTCCCAGCTGCAAACCCCTGGGTTTGATTGCTGCTGGTGCTGGGAGAAGCAGTAAAAGCTGAACCCCAGGGGGACAATAAAGCCAGTGGAGAGGAGATAAGCAAGGATCAAACAGAGTGCGGCAGCCACCCCATGCTGGACTCTCAAAGGTCCCTTTGTTCTGCTGCCTCCTGATTCAGTGCCGCTCTGCCTTCAAGGGCTGCAGGCGAGATAGCGGAGCTCCTGGACAGCCCAGCACAGCCCCTGGCCGTTGAGCTGCCACCTGTGCGGCCCAGCAATAAAAAAAGAGAATTAATTTCAGTCACAGCACTGATCCCAGTTGTACACCGAGGCCCGATAACATATCTCACTGGTTCCTATCAGGCAATAAAACCATTATTGGGGTGGGAGATGATGGAGACATTCACCTTCCTCCTCATCCTGAGTTTGCTGAAGGGTTGTCCCCCTACCAGTCTGCTGTCCCCTGACCTCCACCCACTGTCTGCTCTACAGCTGCCCCACAGTCTGGTTTGATGGGGAAGTGCCGTCGGCCCCGCACAGCATTCACCAGCCAGCAGCTCCTGGAGCTGGAGAACCAGTTCAAGCTCAACAAGTATCTGTCCAGACCCAAGCGTTTTGAGGTGGCCACGTCGCTGATGCTCACTGAGACACAGGTACCTTGGCCCTGGGGGGATGGAGCATAGCACCATGGAGCTGCCATGGGGGCAAGTCAAGTTCCTGGGCAATGCTAACGCCATCAGCCCCACACCCCGCTGCTCCCATCAGTGCCCCTTCCAGGGCACCTCCTGCAGAGATCCGCCTGGTGGGCTCCAGGTTCTTCTCTTGTGAAGGGCACCACAGAAATACTGCTCCTCTTTTCAGCTGGCAGCCCAAGCTTGGGTTTCAGAGCCTTCCCATCCTTCAGCATGCTGTGGGAGGGGGTCTTTCTGAGGGACTAATATGAAAATGTCCCTGTGCATATCCTTGGCTGGAGGCTGGAGGGGAGAAAGGCAGCAGCCCCCATTATTCCTCTCCCTGTGACAACCTCAGCCTCTTTGTACATACTTGTAGCACCATGGGATGCTCCACAATGAAAAGGTTTTGGGGGGACCCTCCGTGCAGGGATGGTGAGGGGGTGAGTGGGGACAGGATGCAGCAGGGTACATCCTCTCCTCTGGGGCTTTCCCTTGGCAGGTGAAGATCTGGTTCCAGAACCGCCGCATGAAGTGGAAGCGGAGTCGCAAGGCCAAGGAGCAGGGGGCTCAGTTGGAAGCTGAGAAGCAACGAGGGCTCAGCAAAACCTGTGAGAAGCTGCTGCCCAGCGAGCCCCAGGGACAAGCTGCCGAAAGCCCTGAGTTCATGGGGCACAGCCCTGACTCGGGCTTCCTGCACTGCAGCACCGCCGAGCTGAGCTATGGCCCGGACTCCTCTTGCTCGGGGGGCGAGGAAGAGGAGGAGGACGAGATGGGTGCCACAGAGAGGAAGATTGGCTCTGTGTTGTGAAAGGCAAATGGAGCCAGCTGGGGAGAGTGGCCAGGCTGTGTTGGGGTGTTCTCTTTGCTGGCAGACACAGACTGTGCCTGGAAGGAGCAGGGGGCTGCAGGGCACCTGCTACCCTTTAACTTATGTATGTTTGGATCCTATTTAACTTGTAATTATTCCTCTGTGTGTATCTGGAGGATTCCCCAGATCCCTCCCCTATAAAGCTGTTATCTGAAAGCCTGTGCTTTTCCTTAGGGGATGGGAAAATCCCCTGTCCTGCTACTGTGCTGTCCTATCAAGTCTCTGGGGAAAAGGGTGGGGAGAGCAAACTTGGGACAGCTGGCAGCCTGCTGGTGCAGCTGGGAGAGGGAGACCCCAGACCCTTCTTTGACTGCACTGCCACTTCCCTACAGATCTGACAGTGCCTGGAACAGCACATCCCAGTGTGGTGCCAGCTTGTCCTTCCCCTTGGTGGCATGAAGAGCTGGGAAGGATGGCCGGGTTGCATGTCAGCCTGCCTTGCCTCCTCCTGCACTAGTACATCCCTGGTATGGTCTGTGCTTTGTAGGGCAAAACTGTCCTGAGAAGCAAAGCTGATGCTGTTTTCCATGCTGCAGTTAGCCTGCTTTCATTGGTGTGGCAATGTCTCAAATAAGCAGGGGGGAAGGGAGGCAGGAAAGTGCTCAGGCTGTAAAGCTCAATGCTGTGGTGAGTTCCCCTTTTCCCATGGTGATGCTTAACCTCTATAAGTTCTTCTCTGGGCTTGTTTCATTATGCTCTTGGGAACTCGCTCACTCTGACAGGGCTGAAATCAACCCTTGGTAGCAGGATGGTGACTGACACCCTCTACCACTTCCCTATCAACACTAGGGTTGAGCACTGACTCCCCTTAAGTAAGGAGGCTGCCCATGTCCTCTCAGGATGCTGGAGGGTTCTGGAAGGCTCTATAGATCTCCCATGCTTCCTGTGCACTTACTGGGTCTCCCCTTGGGGTGCTGAGATGGCCGTGAAGACAGAGGGGCAGCCCGGCTTCACTCCAGTGCATGAGGGGCTGCAGGGGTGGAGCAGGCTGGGCCGGGGTGGGTGACCAATTCCCAGACAGACCATGATGTCCCTCCTGTCCTCTCCTCTGCCTGTCTCTGCCTGAGAGTGGCAGGGAGGGCTGCCTGGCCCGGGACTTGTGGTGGGGGTGGGAATTGCTGAAGCACAACAGCCCCTGTGGAATCCTGGTCATCCCTGGCAGTCAGTGCTGGAAGGGACAGGTAAGCGTTGGTGTGGGGCTGTCACACATCCCAAGGCTGGGGAAAGCCTGTCAGTGTCTGGGGGCAGCACCTGGGCAGGGGGACAGAGGCGACGGTTTTGGGACAGAGAGGTGGGCAGGGGAAGCAGGTGACAGGAGAGAGGAGCATGGAGACGGACAGATGGGTGGATGATGGTCTGTGTTGGGGGACAGTGACCCACAGTGGCTGCTGGCAGCTCAGCAGTTCCCCCCTGGGTACATGGCATCCTCACTGCCCAGGTTCCCTCTCCCCAGGTAGTCCATCTCAAGACATGAGGGTGTCTAGACCCCTGGAATTGCCCCGTGGGGACCTCTGGTTCTGGGGAGGCTGCAGCCCTTGCTCCAAGGGGGTAGGTATGAGCTAGGGTAGCAGCAGGTGCCAGGAGCCTGCTGTGGTTGGTGTAACGTGCGGCAAGAGAGAAATAAATGTGGTATAGCGGGGGAAAATACAAGGAAAGGAGAAGGGATGGGGAAGCATGAAAGGATGGTACCTAATTCCCTGCCACTGCCATGTGGGAACAACAGAGGAGGAGAGACCCGTTGCTCCAGGAGAGTTGTGTCAGCTCCCAGCAAAAACACAGGACTGGGCACAGAAATGCTGGCACCTGCCAGCCCATGGCTGCAGCAGCAGCAGGGCCAAAGACATCTATCACCTGAAATGCAGCATGGCTCAGCAGGAGACCACAGGGACTAGCACACACTGGAGCAGGGCTGAAATGGGGGGACAGGAATGGTAGAGGCTGAGAGGAAAAGGCAAGAAGGAAAGCAACAAAAGTGCCAGGAAGGAGGAGGGGAGCTGAAGGCATGTCACAGGCTTAAAACATTCACCTTGATGGGCCGTGACAGGTTTAATTTGCAGAGTACAATCATTAAAGTGATGGATGGGAGGCGTTCATCTCGCGCCTGCTGCACTCAGGCCCACCGTGGCTGCAGGAGGGTTTGTTTTGTTGCTGTTATTTATGAGGTTGTTTCTGGAGGAGCCAGGCACTTGTCCAGAGCTAGGGGGACAGAGGAGGGGACGAAACTGATGCTGAAAGAATTAGAGTGCTGATTTACAGCTGGGCTGTTTAGCTGCATGACTCATTCGTAAACATCGACAAATGCCATTAAAGCTGCATCTCCTTCCTGCCTCTGCTTGGGCACCCTCCCTGTGCGGTTTGATACAGCCACTCTCCACCACAGAGCTGCCTGCACACCCTGGAAGAACTATCTGTCCCTCCCCACCAGAAAAATGAAGGTCCTGTCTCCTTGAGGGTCATCCAGGGCACTGGGAAGATGTAGGACTGTCCCATGGTGGTGGTGGTCTAATGAGAATGATAACTGATGGGCTTATGCAGCCAGAGCTTCCCATCCTCTCTGCCCTTGCTGGTCTTGGCCCCGTAACTACTTTTGACAAGGATAACAACTTGTTACTTGTGTCACCAGCGCTCCAAGGAGCTTAGGGTGACCTGGCCCCATTAAGGTGTCACTCCATCCCTATGAGAGCACTCTCTAGCCTGCTGCAGCCTTGCCACCCTGCAATCCCCACACTATCCTCACTCATCCATCTGAGGCACCCACGGACTTCACGGCCCCTGTTTGCTGGCTCAGCTTTATGCTGCCGTCCCCTCCACACTCATCCTCAACACCCCTCGCCCCACACTCTCTCCTACACCCCTGCATCCCTCCCTCTTCCTCCTGCCCACCGCCATCTCCTTGCCCCTGAACGTCCCATCTGCCCTTGATTTCTATCTCCTCCCTGCACCCCTGAGAACTCCTCACCACCTCCTTCAGCCCTCCGCGCTCTCCCTGCCCCGCTCCCGCTCCATCTCCCATCCCTGCCCCGCTCCATCTCCCATCCCTTCCCCGCTCCCGCTCCATCTCCCATCCCTGCCCTGCTCCATCTCCCATCCCTTCCCCGCTCCCGCTCCATCTCCCATCCCTGCCCCGCTCCATCTCCCATCCCTGCCCCGCTCCCGCTCCATCTCCCATCCCTGCCCCGCTCCATCTCCCATCCCTGCCCCGCTCCCGCGCCATCTCCCATCCCTGCCCCGCTCCCGCTCCATCTCCCATCCCTGCCCCGCTCCCGCTCCATCTCCCATCCCTGCCCCGCTCCATCTCCCATCCCTGCCCCGCTCCCGCTCCATCTCCCATCCCTGCCCCGCTCCATCTCCCATCCCTGCCCCGCTCCATCTCCCATCCCTGCCCCACTCCCGCTCCCTGCGCGTCCCTCCGCCGCCCCCTGGCGGCCGCCGCTGCCCGCGCGAATTGACCCGAGGCGGCCGCCGTCGTCCCTGAGGGAGCCGCTGCAGGCGCGTCCGGTTTCCACGGCAACGCGGCCCGGCCCGCGGTACCGGCACCGCCACCGGCACCGAGGTGTGCCGGGCTCCCGCTGCTTTAGGGGGCCGGGCTGGGATCGAGGGAGTCGGCCAGGCCCGAGGGCGATGGTGACTCGGGGCCCGGGTTCTGCTGCGCTCCGGGGGCAAGCAGGGTCATGCTGGAGCGCGCCGTGCCCCAGGGAGCTGGGCAGGCGCTCGCTCAGGGAACAGGGTCCTGCCACACTCACCGTGCGGGGCTCGAGGGGGCCAGGCCGGGCTGCAGAGCACAGCCTGACCGTACTGTGCCCCGCGGGCCGATAGCGGGCAGGGCTGGGCCAAGGAGAGCGCTTCCACGGGCCCGGGCTGAGTCGTGACCCGCAGGTCATGGGGACAGCCGTGCTCTGGAGCTGGGGACACAGCGGGGCTGCCACCTGGGGACACAGCGGGGCTGCCACCTGGGGACACAGCGGGACTGCCACCTGGGGACACAGCCGGACTGCTCCCTGCGGGGAGGGCTCCGCTGCCAGCAGCCTGAGCAGCGCCGTCGGGTCGCTGGAGTGCCCGGCCCTTGGCAGCAAAGGCTTTGTGGGTGCGGGGGCAGCATGTGTGAGGACTTTCCCCTGTTGTTTCTCAGATGCTTGCTCAGGTGCCTGACGAGCCCGAAAACTCTGACTCTTCTCGGAAGAGTGTCTATGACAGTAAGGTGAGTGGAAGAGCAAAGAGTGCTGCTGACTTGGGTGGATTGTCTGGCAGGCAGGGAGAGGAGAGAAACAAAAAGTCGTCCTTCGTCACACGTTTTAGTATCTGCTGTTTGGCCAGGAGGTGTCCTCTCTGGATCCCGGAGCAGGGCTTTTGGAGACTCCTGGCGTTTTACCGCGGGGTGGCTCCTCTCATCCGTGTCTAGAGTCAGAAACCCTTAGCGCAGAGAAAGGGCTGTTTGTTTGAGTGATTTCTCCTCCCTTCCTCCCGAACTGCTACTTCCCTAAGGTGTCTGCAAGAGAGGCAAAGAAGAAGAAAGTTGTATTCTGGGGCATTGAGGTGCCTGAAACACTCAGTTGGCATGGCTGGGAACTTGGAAAAGAGATGATCAAACACCTGACCTTGAAAAATGTTCATGGGAAAGTCCAGAAGCTGCGTTACAGGTGCGTGGGAAGTTTGTTTGTCCCTGGTACTCCTTATTCTCTCTCTGCATCTTCACTCCTCCTGCTGTATCAGTCACATCAGCACCTTTTCTCAGATTCACCTTCCCTCTCTCCCCTGGAGTGCTGTGCTGGAGACAATGTGTGCACCCTTATGTTGCAGGACAGAAACCTGCTAATTCAGAAACAGAGGCCTTGTATATGGCAGAAGTCTGTTAAATTAAACGCCTTGTTTTAAATTCTGTTTTGCTGATACTTCTGTCTGTGAGGCATTTCCAGTCTAGTGGGATTTTAATTGTGGATGTATGCCAGCCAGTCACTAGTGTGACCTAAAACCACTGCTCCCGGAGTCCCTCTGGGTGTTGAGCCATTCCAGCAGTCCCTGTGATCCTCCCTGCTCTGAAACTCAAATGTGTCTGCCCTAAGTGTTTTGGTCACCCTGCATGTCCTGAAAACATAAAATACTGTTCAAGGAAGGGGTAGGTACTTCAAGCTGGGAATAGGTTTTCAGGACAGCTGGGTTCTGCCTCTCTCTACTATTTTGCTGCCAAAGTACCTTTGGGGTCCAGTGCGTAAAGCGCTTCTATATTGTGGGGTCAGGAAGTGTTGGTTATTTATTCTTTTCTGTTAACTTAAGCTGCCCACCCTCAGATAAAATCTCTTGTTTTGATTTTGTTGCCCAGGGCTCCTTCCACGCCATTCTTCTTCACTGTTTTCCCGCAGCCGATCACTCTGAACCCTGGCATGTCTGTAACTCTGCCCATCGTTTTCCGGCCCAGTAAAGAGGTAAAGCAGCGACATCACAACTGCTCTCAGTGCTCAGGCTGCATTCCCAGGGAGAGCAGTGGGCCTCTGCCTCTTGTGTCCTTTCTGATTTGTTTTCACTTGAATGCATGAGTCCTTGGGGAAATTCTAGCATAGAAGGAGTGGGCAGAATGGCCTTCCTGATCTCTCCACATCTTCGTTACCTGAGAGAGCCCTCATCCCTGACTTCTCTGCAAAGTTTGCCAGTAGTTATGAGAGGAATCCTCACAAAAAGTGTTATTCCCAGTTTTTCACATACTACTTCTGCCTTTCAACTCAGTAAGATAAAATGCTTAAACTGTCCACACCTGGTTTGATTCCAAGGAAACACATCTGGGTGGCTTTAGTGCAGAACCTTGGGTTGAGGGGCTCACTTTCTGCCTTCCTACAGGAGAGTCCAAAGCCTCTACATTCAAGGGCTACCAGTTTTCTAAGGGAATATGTCAGGGGCCTCCTTTCTTTTGGATGGAGGGTATTTCTGTAAGCTTTTATTTTAAACAGCAATGATTCTTTTTATCCAGACCCTCTTCTTATTTTTCAAGTTGTTTGTAGTGTCTGTCTTGGCTCTGAGTGTTGATCTCTGGCTCTTGTCGATAGCTGTATGTCTTTGATGTGTACCTCTGTCCTAGCCATAGAGCATGGTCATTGGACAGATTCCCAGTACCCTGCTCTCTTAGTATCATGATTTTCTGATGACTGTTCAGTGTTCCCTTTATGAAATAAGCTGCTGGCCTTGTTCCATTTTCAGTGAATAGTTTGTCTGCAGCACAGACAAATTGTTAAAGCAGGAGTCTGCCTTTCTTGGAGAGAGCAAGGACTGTGTGTGCTGCAGTGTCCAAGGTTTCTCCTTACCTGTATGAGTGTTACTAGGAGAGCTGACAAATGGGAAGCATAGAAAACACATATCTTTCAATTCTTTCTGTCTTGGCTTGTTAGCAGATGTCCTGAGGCTATTTGTACACAGTGCTGTCAACGCTGCATCTTTAATTTGTGTGTTATCTGCTTGGATCTCTAGCTGACAAAGCATTTAGTCAAAGATTGATACTTCTGTGCTCATGGAGCTCAAAGAAAAGTGGTACATGCTTCAGTTCAGCTGAACTGGGATCTTGAAAACACTGAAAGGAATCCATCTGCATTGAAACAAACCAGGTGAAACTAATGTGGCCTTCAGCTGCTCTCCCTGACATGTTTGTGAGTTCCCTGACAGAGGAGTATGCCCGAGTACCTTCCACACTGCCTGCCTTTTCTGAGTGATTCATATGCTCTCTGTCCTGCACAGAAGCCTCCACTGGTGCCTCTGTTGCCAACATTTCTTTCCCCAACACTTGCAGTAGTGAAGGTGACAGGTATTCGTGGGTGGAGCTGCAGCCCCTGCAAGGTGGAATCCATCTAACAGCTGTCTCCCTTTGTTTTTCTGTGCAGATGGATTATGAAGACAACATCTTCTTTATGAAGGCTGAGGGTGAGTTCTCTGTTACCCTGCATGCTATGCTTCCACGCTTCTGTCTGTCCATCCCGGCCGCTGTCCAGTTGCCTGTCTGTGCTGTCCACAGCGCTACAGAGGCGACGTTTGCTGTGCGCAACGTTGGGTGAGTGCAGCTAAGCAGACACTCTTTCTGTTTTGTCTGGTATTTTGCCACTTTCTTGGACTGTCCAGTGAATGCAGCTCATTCCAGTGGTTATTAGTTCTGTTGGCTGCCTTAACAGCAGGCAAAACTCTGCCTTCCCTAAGGTCTTGGCAGAAAAGGCAGCAGAATGGTAGTACAGGTCACTGTGGGCACATCTTGGCATTTCACGTCTGTTTGTGCCAGCATATGTTGAGAACCATTCACACACAGGAACTAGGTGGGGACCAGCACAGTGTCCCACTGAAGACACCCCACGTTCACTGGAGAGGCCTGGGCTTCTGTTTAACCAAAGGCAACCTGCCCAGCATGAACAAGGAGAGATGAGCTACCAGCTGGAAACATTTTAGTAATTTAGGAGTAAGGGTGCTCCCAGTTACCAAGGTTTGTCCTATTTTAATGAGGAAGGACAGTACTGTAGAAAGGAATGCAATGAAACTCCCAGGCAAGGAGGAGGTGTACTTCTAACCAAGTGATTCCAACCATTTCAAGTGTTTCGGCCTCCAGTTGGAGAAATAATTTGCTACAAGTGATAGGCCCAGGATGTTGGAGGGTCAGGATGGTAAGCAGCACATAGCTTAGAGCAATAAAATAGAAAAAGCTGATGGTATATAATGTTCTTTGCAGAAATCAAACAAACAAAGGGGGTTCTGGAAAATTGATTAAGGTATTAGGAAAATGGCTCAATCCTCCTTTCTCACTTGAGTATATAACAGAGGAACAAATAGTCATTTAAATTAAGTAGCTGCAAATTTAGATACAGGAAAAGCAAATATTTAATTGTGGAACTGATTTGCTTGCTATCACCTTATAGTCATTAATAAAGTTCTTAGCTGTAATAACTAAAATTCATTAAAGTGGGAAGAGAGCATTTGCAGAGACTATAGACAAATTTTTTCACAGCATCACATATTTGTCCAGCTATGTTTGGGATTCTTCCATTCAGCACTGGTTGCTTCACATCCCAGCTGAATATCTTAATAGGAAAGGCCCACCCTATGCATGATTGCACAGGCAGCAAATGATCCATTGATCTGCTTAAAATGTATCTCCATTTCCTAGTGATCTCGTTAGCATCTTTGCCTGGGAGACATCAAGTCCTTTCTCCGTGGATCCTATGTTTGGCACACTGAACCCAGGTGCTGAGTGCATGGTCAAGGTGGTCTTCAAGCCCAAGGTGGCTGGGGTGCATTATGCAGCAGCAACATGCTGGTTTGGAGGTGAAGTGAAACAAATGAGGACAATCAAGCTAAAAGCCCTGGGTGAGTCTGTCTTGCGTTTAACACTCAAAGAAATATGTATTTCCCCTAACTCCAGAATAGCATTCCACAGGGTACATGGAGGGTCTGTACTCTGAGACTCTGCCACACTTGGCTCAACCCAGTGATGAGCAACTGAAGCTCACAGTTTGAAAGTGCCCTGTGGAATTCTCTAATGTACTTTTGCCAGTTTGGAAGTGTTATCTGAAGAGACGGAGGGTCCAATATGCCCTGTGGCATGCTTTTGCCAAACCAGCATTTCCAAGGCCTGTTTAAGTTGACAGAGGGGAAGAAATGACAGGAATTCACTGGAAAAAAAGCCTCCACAAACTTCTGGCTTTGTCTGCACTCAGTGTCTCCTGTCGTCTCTGCTAGACAGAGAAGCAGAGGGAAATTTCTAAAGCTTTCTGGTTGCAAGCTAAAATAAACTATGATTTCATTAGCAAGTCCATGCCTGAAGTGACTTGTATAGCCACTGACAATCAAAAAATGTGATTATGAAGGGCTAGAAGGGAGTTTATTTGGTTCAAATCAGGGCCAGCTTTGAAGGCAGATCTAACTTCAGACTCATCTGAGGTTCTTCAGATTTTGTCCAGTTGAGTGTTGAATATTCAAGAGTAAAGGTTCCACCTGTCTTTCCTAATATAGTATACTATTCTCTTTAACAGCCAAATACCCCTACCTGTGTGTGAGCATGACAGGAAAGAAGTCTGAAGGTGTACAGCCTGGAAAGTTTCAGGATGCCCTGTGTTTTGGATCAGTACCAGTGGGGAAAACTGTGGAGAAGTGTGTGGAAATTGTCAACATATCTCTGGTATGGGGAGAGGGAGATTGACTTCTTGTGAGAAGCCAGCAAGCTGACACATTTCTCTGGGATATGTGGTCTTGTGTATCTCCCTAAATGCTGTGAAAGTAACCTAAGTGTGAATATGAATGAAGCAGAGGTGATGAGCCTTCCCCTACCAACCATGCCATTCACTCTTGCCTTCCAGCTACAGTGCTAGCAACTTAGCCATTTGCAGTGTGGTATTGCAGTTTACCCCTGCTTCCCTGCTGTGCTTGGTCCACATCACCATGTCCTTTGCATCCTGCAGCTCTCCTGCCCACCCTGGACCAGTCCATACATCCTGTGTGGCAATTATGTCATTCTCAAATTGGGGGGTGTGTGTGTGTGCGTGTGTGTCCCAGGCAACTGATGGATCTTTCAGTGCCCTCTGTGGAATGCAGCTCAGTGAATTGCTCAAAAAGTCAAATGGATTTGAGCACCTTGTTACCTGTGCCAGCTCAGCCCATCCCAGCCTCTTAAGTGATGGGTGTACTCAGAGACTCCTGACATGGATGACAGCAGTGCTGACTCCTGCACAGGCCCTTGGGAGTGGAAAAGACACACTAATTTTTGTACTATTATTATTCACATTGCAGTGGTGCTCAGCATTGCCGGGCAAGGATCAGGACAGTTTTTTAAAGGTCATGAGTAAAGTATCAGAGCACCAGCTTTGGGGTTTTTTGGGAAAAGAAGACCCATAAACAAGGTGGAACTGTGGATAGAGGGAAATAATTTACCTGCCTGCATGTTCCCCTGGTCACAGCAGTCATTTATGCTATTTTGGCCCCTAAGGACACCTTGAGCCATCTTTCCACCAACCAGGAGGAGCACTCCAGCCCCAGAGATCACAGAGTTTTGCTGCAGCCTGCTAATTTCTGAACATGTTGAGGGAGCTTGTTGCCACCCGTTCTCCATCAGAACAAGATGGCAGAGGTTTGCTGCACAGTGATTCTGTGGTGGCCTTGGTGTTCTTGGTGGTGTTCAGCACTGCAGAAAACTACAGTTCTTATCTGATTTGTATCCTTCATTCAGAGTCATCCTGGCTCGTATTGGCTCCTTGGTTAACCTGTTTCTTTTCTACTTGCAGGTTGATGCACCATTTAGAATAGAACAAGCAGAAGGCCCTCTGCTTCGTGATTATGGTTTCTCCTGTGATGTGTCCCATGATGTTGTTCCTGCCAAAGGAAAGCTGGTCTTGCGCATACGGTTTCAGCCCCACGTAGTAGGAGAGCACAGTACTGACTATTTCACTATCACATCTGCTGCATACCACTTGAAGACTGTTCTGAAAGTGGTTGGTTCATGTAAAGGTATGAAAGCCTTTCCTGTTTCTCCCTGTCAGCTTCTTACCACTGGAGGGAAAAGGTTAGTGCTTGGGGAAGGACTAGGAGCTATCATAGCCTGCAGTTACAGACTAAACTCCTGCTGGGATCTGGCTGTCCCTGGTGTACCCTTTGGGATTTATACTTGCTTGACTGTTTTAAGTGAATGTCCAGCCGTTTGCTAGGACTAGTGGGTTTGCTGAAGAGTTGAATCTGTTTGGGAATATCAGTTAAGTGCAGCAGTGTCTTGTGACATGTTGGAATAAACAGCTGTGACAGGTCCAGGATCTTACATGTTGTGCTAGGTCCTTCTGTGTCCCTGCACCAGCATTCTGTGAACTTTGGCTGGATCAATCTTGGAGAAAGTTTGATGCGGACACTGAAGATCAGCAACACGTCAGATGTCCCGGCCTATTATCAATTTGATATTGATTGCAAAGGGAGTGTCTTCTCCTTGGATCGCTCCTGTGGAGTCTTGGAGGGTGCAACAACACTGACACTGAAGGTGATCTTTCGACCTGCTCACCCTATCAATTATCACCGCAGAGTCGTGTGCCTTGTCCACCACCAGGTATGGGAGGCAAAGGGTGGTTTCATTGCTGTGACACTTTAGAGGCATCTTCCAGTGTAATCCAACAGGACTGGCCTGTCTCACTTAGTCCCTGCAAAGCTCTTCCCACTGCATTTTCATTAATTGCTATCATAGAATCGTTAAGATTGGAAAAGACTTCTAAGATCATTGAGTCCAGTGATTAACCCAGCACTGCCAAGTCCACCACTAACCATGTCCCCAAGTGCCACATCTGCATGTCTTTTAAATAATTCCAGGGATGATGATTCAACTACATCCCTGGGCAGTATGGGGTGGCAATCATTTCGGTGAACAAATTTTTTCCCATTATCCAATCTAACCACTGCCCAAACACAGCTTGAGGTAATTTCCTCTTGTCCTATCACTTCTTACCTGGGAGAATGGGAGAAGAGACCAGCCTCCACATAGCTACACTCTCAGGTAATTGTAGAGAGCAATAAAATTCCCTGTGAGCCTTTTTTTTTTTTTTTTTTTTTTTTTTTTTTTTTTTTTTCCCAGACTAAACACCCCCAACTCCCTCTGCCATTCCTCCATTCCTCATAAGACTTGTGCTCAAGACCCCTCATCAGCTTCTTTGCCCTTCTCTGGACACACTCCAGCTCCTCAATGTTTTTCTTGTACTGAGGGGCACAAAACTGAACATAATTGTCAAGACACAGTCTCATAATTGCTGAGTACAGGGGGACAATCACTGCCCTGGTTCTGCTTGCCACATAATTTTTGATACAAGCCAGGATGCCCTTGACCTTCTTGGGCTACCCAGGCACAAGCTAGCTCATGTTCAGCTGCTGTCAGCCGTCACCCACAGGTGCTTTTCTGATGAGCAGCTTTCCAACCACTCTGCCCCAAGCTTGTAATGGTGCCTGGGGTTATTGTGACCCAAGTGCAGGACCTGGACTCTTGTTAAGCAGAATCCCCATGGTGCAGGTTCCTATCAGCAATAGGATGTGGACAGTCAGTAATACCTGTGGATAGGGTGAGGTGCATCCACTGTGGCTCTTGTCCATTTAGGTCTCTCTCCTAACTTTAACTGCATAGCTGTGCACTGAGTGCCTTCAATTTTCACTCCAGTTTCAAGAAAGTCCTTGTTTCACATCGAGACATAAAGTAAATGGCAGCCTAAAACTGCAGATGCTAAGCCTTTCCCAGCATGGTTTTGGAAGTGAGATACTGGTATGGTGAAACTCTCAAAGCAATCACAGGACAGTTTATTTCTTATTATCCTGAATTGTGTTTTCCCAGGAACCCCTCTATGTGGACTTTTTTGGTACTTGCCATTCAGACACAGCTAAGCCAACCACCCTTCAGAAAAGACACCTCTCCTGGTACAGAACCAACATGGTGAGGGGACTGACCTTCTACCCCCCTGATATCCTGAGTGAAATGCTGAAAAATGGGAAGTTGCAGATGGATGAAAAGGGAGCCCTCATGCTGCCCCCTGAGGTATGAGCTGCCCTCCCTGTAATCTAAGACACTTTCAGCTCTTCTCTATATATGCTGGGTATCTGTTGCACAGAAGACAGATCTAAAAGGGCTTGCAAATGCCAGACTGATATCTTTTAGTATTTATGCTGTTGATGTTCCCAGTACACACCAACACTATCTTGGTCAGCTGGCTTTTCCTTATCTCAGCCCCAAAGCTTCTTTCTGGCTTTAACTCAATCACGGAGTCATTTTTGCCTTCTTCTTTAGTTTCAGATTGAGGCTTACAAAAAGAAGCCTCCTTGAAGCTAGACTTTGAGCTGTTCTAGGAACTCTTGCTGAAGTGCATCTTGCATGCCCTCTTGCTCATGGAGGCAGTCAGCACCTGGTGTCTCCCACAGGCACACTTTGCCTACTCACACTGAGCTATTTCCATCCTGTAGATTTCTGAGGACCAGCCACCCAAGGAATACTTGGAACCCAATCCCATGGCTGAATATTTCTACAATGCTGTAAGCAGTGACCTGGCCTTGTTTCCTGCTCATGTTAGTGTCAGCCCCAGGGAGTATGATTTTGGATGCTGCATGCCACCACACAAGGCAGACTCTCTTTCTCTCTGTGTGACCAACCACACCAAAGGAAGTATCATTGTTGCCTGGACTCCAAGCCATAGCAGCGCCTTCCAAGTGCACCCCGACATCGGTGACATCCCACCGTTGAAGTCTTCAACCTTCTATGTCTTTTGCAGGCCCACTCAGGTCAACAGTCTTTATGCAACAGAGCTGGAAGGTTTTGCTGTTTATAAGGTTAGTAGGAATTACTAAGACCAGAGATGACCTAGCAAGCAACTTTTTGCAGAATAAACTATTTTAGGGGAGTTAAAATTCAGTTTAAACTCTTAATTTTGAATTTGAAAAACTAGCACCTCTATTAACTCTTTTGGCCACTGCTTTGATACTCTGTTGGGTTGAAGTCTCTTTCACCTGTGTCCTGGCAGACAAATGACAGAACAAGTCACAGCTCACACTCGTGCACAGGTACACTTGCTCTTACCCCTAGGAAACATGAAGCATGGTACACCTCACTGAAGGAGGAATTACTATGAATTATTCCATTATTAGTGTAGGTGTGAGCCTGCACAAGAATGGTTATTGTGGCCTGGGTGATGGGCAAGAACTTGGTCTTTGTATCTGGCCCTCCACAAGAAAAGCTGCTGAGGGCACTGTCTCTCCCAAGTGACATGGGATTCACATTACACGAGTCTGCAGTTACAGGAGATTTAGCACCCAGAAATGTCCTGGTAAGTGAAACTTAGCATTTCCCAGTCTCTCTCTCTTTGTTTCTCATCTGGCACTGGTCAGTCTTTCTTCCCTGAAAATGTCAATTCCTTAGCCCCAGGGATGTCATTGAACAAGCAGCTGCTTGAGGTAGTATGTGCACTCGGTCTCTTCCGACTCAGATTAATCTGTGATTCTGTGAAGGCACCTTGCCACACTCCCTTCCTGCACACACTGTGTTGTCCCTCGTGTGTCTGCAGGTGATGAGACACTACACCAACATTGAGAATGATGCCACCATCTGTCCATCGTGGTGCCTGACTGTGAGGCTGAGAGCACACACATATGAAGCAAAACGGGAGCACATCATTCCACAGTACGTCCTGGATGTCCCCAAAGTGGGTAACTGATTGACCTGTGGATCTTTGCAGAACACTCTGTTTGTCTCTGAATTCTTTACTTTGTCTCCCATTGCATTGAGATGTGTCTTTGGTGGTTTCTGAGGTGTGGAGGCTCCTGCAGTGGTATAAAAGCAGTATGCTGTTTCTCCTGTATTAGCTTCCCAGCTTCCACCATGTCAGCTGTACTGACCATCTCATTAGCTCTGAGAGAAAAGCTGTTGGGATCACCTTCCTTTCTGTTTAGGTAGACATAGTAGGTAAAAAAGGTGTTCAGTCCCCTCCCAGGAGCCTCAAAAACTGCATGCACTTGGGCAAACAGAATCCCCACTTATGAAAGATAAGTGGTTGTAAGATAGAGGGGAAGGTTCTCTTTCTCTTCCTGCTGTTTCTCTAGCACAGTAAATTATTTTTCCTTTGAGGTAAAGTGAAATCTGATCCTAAGACATAAGAATAGTCTTGAGAACCTCTTATGAAATCTCCTCAGCTAATCTAGGCCATGCAGCCTTTATTTGATGTTCATGAAGTGGAGCAAATTCTAGCCTGCTAGAATTCTTCATCCAGGATGTCACTATCCACGCAGAAACTGCAGGCACCAGTGAGCAACTCACTTACTGGATGGACATAAAGCATGGCATGATGGAAAATAGGTTCACCAGTCCCATGAGCCCATGAGGGCTACTGTGGGGAGGGTGGTTCCATTTCTTTCCTTGAAAAGAAGCAGTTAGAAAGTTCTCCATAGACTCAGGATAGTGCTTATTGGAACCTGGAATTGAATATAATGAAAACTTCTTCTTTAAGCTGATTTTTAAACCCGGTGAAAGCAACCATTTTTGCTTGTCTCCACCAGATTTTTCCTCCTGTGGCTTGTGACACTGATACCTACTGCAGCATGCTGTTGTCCAACCCGAGCACCTCTTTGATAACCTTCAGTGTAAACCAAACTGCCTGTCCTTCTGTTTTGGTCAAGCCCAGCTTAGGACATGTCATTCCAGGAGGCCACCAGATTTTCTTTCTCTCCACTCACCCAGTTAACACAGTCTTGAAGCAGCATGTCCTGCCTTTGGAGCTGAACTCTTATCCTGCATACACCAAGGTAAGAAGAGGGAAGTAGAAGATAGTGAGCAAAGTTTTGTTCCCTTGTAGTCTTCCCTTTTCACAGTGACTTGCACTGTGTTGCTTATTACATCTCCTAATGGTTAGTTTAGATTTTTCTCTTTGGAAATAGGAATGAAAGAATATTTTCAACATTTAATATGGAGTCAACATTGCAGAAAGAAGGCCTTTATGGTGCCAAACATCCTTTACCCCTTGTTCCTTGCATTTCCATCTCCTGAAATACACTGTATTATGCTAAGGGCCCAACTTGAGAGCACAGCCTAAAGCCCTTCCCCTCCTAGTTAAGATCCAGTTTGTCCTTGCTTCCCTTTTGGAAGAAACAACATCTTTGCAGGGTTCCTCCAGAGGCAGCTGAGACTTATAGCTAATATCTGTTACTTTTTCTCTTAATTCCACAGGAGATTGTTCTCCAGAGTTGCGGGCAGTCTCTTCTTTTGCTCTTAGAAGGTGATGGAATTCTCTACTTCAAACCTCTCCATGTAGGGACCTCCTCTACACGAATGTACACTATTAAAAACTGCACAAGTCTACCCATGGTTTTCACATGGAAGATCCGTCGGTCAGACAGTAAGATCCTGTCTGTCAGCCCCACTGCAGGGATCCTCCAGCCCTATGAAACCATGGTAAGTTCAAGTTCTACCACAGTTGTAGTTTGCTCTCTACAACACAACCTCAGCCTGGCTTTGAATATCTGGATGTTCATTCCCAGTGTGAATCTTTGACACAGATGGAGTTGGTGTGTCTGTAGAGAACTAGGTTAGCTATAATGGAGGAAGGGGCTGTGCATTAAATGCAATTGTTGAGGTGTTTGGCTTTATCTCTGTAATGGAGCTTCTGTGAGTACTCTTCCCTCTTGTGATTGTAGGCTCAGGCATGGACTTTTACTCCTGACAAGAAAACCAAGTATGTGCTGCAAGCTATGGTGTTTGTGAGGTGGAAAAGCCCAGACCCTGTGTCTCCCAAAGATGTCCATTATGTCTTACGGATCATTGGAGAAGGGGCACTGGGCACCATCAGGGTAAGGAACAGGGGCCCACTGAGTACTAGTAGGGGGCACCAGGGTGGGATGGGGGTCTTGGATTTTCCCTTTTTGCACAATCTGTACTGGAGGCAGCCAATAAGGATTCACAGCAAAATTCCCAGACACTGTTTTCAGTGTAAATGATTGTACTCATTCTAGTGGCCTAATGGCAACATGTTGTAGATGTCCTGCCAGTTCAAATACAACCTTAACAAATCCTCTGGGATTTCTCTGTTCCAGACTGAACCAAGCAAGTAATTTGGCTCCTTGAGAATCATGGTTCTCTCCTCTCATTCTGTTTGTTCTCCTTCTCCATTTGTTTTGCTGTTAGTCTGATTTCTAAATGTAGTGGACATTTTAAAGTGGTATAGCCAGTACACCTCCATGTGGCTTTCCTCCTGTTATCTGCAGGTCTCTGCAGCCACTTTCATTTTTAGTCATGTTTCTTAATGAACCAGAGGTAAATAAAATAAAACTTTGTAAGTCATTGCCCAATGTCAATCATGTTGATTGATGGGTGATAATGTCTTCAAGGTACGTAGTCATTATAAATTGTATGTGAGTGCAAAACTAGCCAAAAGAGAGGGGCACTCTTTAAGCAGTTACAAAAGGGCCAGCAAATATCTCTCAGCCTGGACCCAAGTGCAGCTGACCAGCTAATGTTCTCACAGCCCTGAATATGCTACATCCTACCCAGCAAACAGCCTAAAAAACAGTAGGAGAAAGCATTTGGAGGAGGGATTGAGTCCTTGCAGATGTGTTCCACATTTTATTGTGCTCCAACTGCCTGAAAGGAGTTTGTACCAAAGTGGGTATTGATCTCTTCTCCTGAGTAATAAGCAGTAAGGCAAGAGTTAATGACTTAAAATTGCATCAGGGGAGGTTTAGATTGGATGCTTGGAAAAATTTCTTCAGGAAAGGGGTTGTCACTCATTGGAATGGGCTGCCCAGTGAAGTGGTTGAGTCATTATTCCTGGAAGTATTTAAAAGACATGTAGATGTGGTACTCAGGGGCATGGTTTAGTGGTAGCATTGGCAGTGTGAGGTCAATGATTGGACTCAATGATCTTAGAGATCTTTTCTAACCTTAAAAATTCTATCTCCCAGGGCATACCAGGTCCTACACAAAGCAGGGAGTCCTTTGCACTGCACTGCACATGCCAAGGGATCAGCATGTGGTGAGATTAAGTGGTGACTACACTCAACCACTATACTTGACATGTTAAAGTGACCTCAGTGGTGGGTTTGTATTCCAGGCACAAAAGGAGCATCTGGACCTTGGAAATATTCTAGTTGGTGATCAAAAAAGCTGCAGCATTGTACTGCTAAACGATGGGATCTGTACTCTGAATTACATCCTCAGTGTGGAACGACTGTTCACAGGGCCCTGTGACCATGAGGAGGTCCTCAGTGATCTACCAGGTACTGTAAAGGAATTAACATGGGACAGGACCTTAGTTTTCCCCTCTTTTCTTCAAAACCAATCTAGAATTAACTTGGAGGTTGGGCTGCTTGCTGGTTGGCTTACACTGATTCTCTCAAACCTTAAGTTGTCTGCCCCTTTGCATAGGGTGTGACTTTTCTATCTTGCTGGAAAAAGCATAATCCAGGTCTGACAATTGAAGCTAGACCAATCTGGACCTTGAAATAAGATACAATTTCCCAGCAGAGGAGGAAGTTAAATAAAGGACCTTAGAAGAAATGTTGGAGCTCAGCTCTTAGCTGCCTTTCTAGGACCTCCAGTTGGGAAGTTCCCTGTTCTTTGCTGGCCAGAGACAATCTGGGTACTCCCAATGAGCTGCCTACAGTTGTAGTCTGGGAATCCCAAGTTCACCACCTGAAGCTAATCCTAACTATTAGACAAGGGGTGTCAGTGGCTAGAGTGCAGGTAGACTTAGTGATCTCTGTGCCACAACATGTGTGGTGTGAGAGACAGTAATGCCAAGAGCTTATACTGCTTCTTGTATCCTACAGCTATAGAGCTGGAACACTCCAGAGGAACAGTCCCCGCAAGATCAAAAGTTTTTGTCCGAGTAAAAGTAAGGCCAGCCCGTCGGCTGTGTTACACCTGGTTAATCAAATATGCTATTTGCACAGCCAGAGGTGAGATGAATGTTTTGGGATGTTGAGAGATGTGGGACAGTGTTTATAAAAGAAGAGACTAGCAAGACAAGGAGTTTTCAGCTTGGAAGGTGAAAAATGTAATGTCATATGAATGAAATGGGAGCACAAGATATATATAACTGTTTATGATTTTTCAGTGTGAAAACAAGGGGCACTTCATAGAATGTTTAAGCTGTAGGCTTAAATCAAAAAGGGTTTTTCTCACATAGTGCAAAACTAAATGGTGTAAATGCACTGTTGAGAAGGATCACATTCATAGTCCTTTAGTGATGTCTAAATGCAGAAGTTAAAGTACAGCTAGAAGTCAGTGGTTTAGGGGTTTTGAGAAGCTGCCAAACAAGATTATGTACAATGCCCATTCTTTCTTTGTTCTTGGCAGGACCTCTTTCCTCTTTGCTGCAGTCAAAATGACCTAGGCAGCAGCCCCTTAATGGTACATGACTACTTTCTGGTGTTTCTTTCTCCCCCAAGCTGCAGATCTTGCAAGCGCAAAAGAGAAGCAGCAGCAGTTCCTCTGCTGCATTGTAGCAACAGGCGTCTACCCAACTTTGTGCATCACAGATGCTTGTACAATAGGGACTGCCAGCCGTAACAGCAAGATGCACATCTGGAAGCTCTTCTCCTTGGACACACTGAATGAATTCTTGGAGCGAGACCCAACTCCTGGCGAGCTCACCTACAAAGTTCCCACAAGGCACAGGTGAGATGAGGAAATGGCTCAGAGGATCTTTGAGTCCCTTGCATGAGCCAGACAGAGATGCTGTGGCTTATTGGCACGTGTTGTAGCTCCTTGCTGTGTGGCACCCTGTTATTCCATCCTAACTGCTGCAGGCAGTTGGTCACCTCCACTTCTCTTCTTAAGCTCCCTTGAAAGGAGCCACAGAAACAGACAATAATTTAATTGCAATAGACCTCCAAAACTTCCTGGTGTAGCCCCTTGCTCAAAGCAGGGACATACAGATCAGGTTTCTCAGGACCTTATTCAATTCAGTGCTGAATATCTCTGAGAATGGAGAAACCACAGCTTGTCTGAGTTCCTCTTTAACCATTTCCATGTTAAAAACCTTTATCCTAGTATCTCATCAGAATATCTTGTATTGCAGCTTGTGCAGTTGCCATCCCCGACCCCTTGCTTCATAAGGCTGAACAAATCCAGGTCCCTTTGTCCGTCCTTGTAATCATAAAATGGTTTGGATTGGAAGGGACCTTAAAAATCATCTAGTTCCAACCCTTCTGCCATGGGCAGGGATGCCTTCCACTAGACCAAGTTGCTCAGAGCCTCATCCAGCCTGGCCAATGTGCTCCAGCTCTCAGCCATTTTAGTGGCCCACCATTGGGCCCTGCTCCAGTATGTCAGTGACTTCCTCATACTGGGGAGCTAAAGAGAGACTTCAGGCTAAGCAGAACTCTCCTATGTCACTCACTCGCATTAAACATACATAAAAGATTTTGGAAAGAAAATCAGGTCTGCCTTATGCCCAGTATCCTTTCACTCAAAAGGGCCAAGGACATAAGGTCTGACAAGAATTATAAGGAAGACAGCCAATGTGGAATAACCTTTCCCCTGTCATTCCCTGATGACCATTCCTCCTGTTTCATTTTAATATTTTCTTTCTCTCCTGTGACCAGCACATGCTTGATCCCTCCAGTGTATACCCCTCTCCTGCTGGATTTTGACTTTGGGTCTGCCCCAGTGGACTCAGAGCCTACGATTGTGGTGCTTATGCTGGAGAACAAGGGTGTGGTACCTGTGGAATGGTAAGCAGTGCTCCCTGGAGGTCAGCCTTCTTTTTAGGGGTCTAGAAGTGCTCAAAGGGCTGTGAGAAATTTGCAGATTAATAGGGTGGGTTTTGTAGGTACAGCTGCAGCTGAGATCTGTTGATGAGTCTAGGTGGGGAAGCAATCAGGGAGATGCAGATCAGACCTGATGAAATGTCATGTAGCCAGCAGCTGGGCTAAGCCCATTTGGATTGAATATGCTGACCATAGCCCTGGGGAAGTTGCTTGTTGCTGACCAGCTGATTGGTTCCCTAGGGCCTTCTTGTTTCCTTCTGATCAGAAGATGGACATGGAGCGCTGGGCAGAAGATGCTGACTTTACCCCCCAGGAGTTGCACCAGATGAGCATTCAGGATAACCAGCTCTTCAGTGTTTCTCCAAAGTCAGGAACACTTCTTCCAGGGCAGGAGAAATCTGTCCAGCTCTCACACAGGTGATGACAAGCACCTGTTCTTCAGAGCTTCATGCTGTGTGCCAGAACAACACATGCCATCAGTCCCCCGAGTTTCCATGCTAGATTTTCCTTCCTCGTCGCATGTTCCTCAGCAGAGGCTGGGCAAGTAAAAAGTTCCTGAACACGTCCAGTTTCTGGACCCCACAGAGCTTGTCTTCCTCAGGAGAGTGTTTTAATGTCCTTTGACACTGCAGAGCAAAAGGCATTTAGTGTGACATGCTGGGGACAGTGGTCTACCTTGACCTGACAGTTGAGAAGATAAACAAGATGCTGCACTTCCTGTGCTTTTGATTATGTAGTGATATTCTTTTTTTTTTGTCATCAGCTAGAGATGCTAGCCCTTGCATGCCTGTAGAAGGTATGAAGAAATCTGAACTCTTGCTTTTCAAAGCAGACCATATCTGAGAAGTACTGGCATTTTGTTGGCCTAGAAATTTGCGTCCCTAAATATGTGCTTGACTAAAATCAAGACTGTATCACTCACTCCCACCCAAACACAACTGGGTTCCCCCCCACCTCCCTGCAGCCCTTATGCAGCAGTGACTCTTTGGCTGGGAAGTGAATTGTCTCTAATGTTCTGTGTGACTCTGACTCTATCATCCTGGGCACCAGATTGATTTCTGCTGTTTTCCTCTCTCTCCTCTTTCACTGCTAGACATGATTTCATTGGCACTGATCGCCTCCCTGTCCTGCTGAAGATTTCCTATGGCCATGAGATTCTGGTAAGATAGCAGGTGTCCCTTCCTTCCATTTGCAGAACAACAAAATTGGTTGGAACTGAATTAAGAGGTATTTTCCGCACAAGCTGCATAGTGTACAGGGGACTGTGGCCTTCCCCTGGAGTTTGCACTGGCCAGGCATAACAGAGGGCCAAGAAGAGACATAAAAACGATGTTCTGACAAACTTGTGGTTCCAGCACAGAGTGATTTGGGCAGTACACTGGCAGAATGGCCCTTGGATGTTGCATCTGCTGGGTTCTTCAGCAAGAGGACTACTATTTATTTATTATTAACCTTTGTATTTTATTAATGTTATTGCAGAATTGCTTCTTCCTTCAAGACAACTCCAAATCCAAAACAGACTTCTCAGGTTTTACGATCCCTGCATGTTTTCCACACTCTGGTGTAACTTATGATCAGGATTCCTGTGCATGCTTCCCCGCATTTCATCTGGCTCACTGCGAGTTGTTCCATGCAGTTCCTGGAGTTCAGATCTGTGGCCCATCCTGCTTCTCTCCCATGCAGCTTTCCTGAATCTCTCCAACTCATCAACCCTCCATATTCTTCAACCCCCACTGGAATGTGCTTTTCTCCAAATATACCACTATCACCTGCTGTGATGGTAGTTTGGGAATGCACAGGGTGGCAGAGCACCCTCCAGCTCTGGGTTTACAGGGTCAGCTCTTTCCCCAAGCCCAGAACATACTCCTTGGGTTCCTGGTTGGCTGCAGCCTTTGTCCACCCACTTATTTTTCCTGCCAATGATAGAGATGATTCTTACTCATTCTTCCTGCCTCGCTGCTTTCTAAAGCATCCCAGAGCTGATCTGTGGTGTGTTTTCCCGGAGCATCTCCTCAGGCTTGGAACTAATTTCTCTCTCTCCCTCTCTCAAACTGTCAGTTAGAGTCACGGTCACCTTGTGCTCTGCCAGGCACCACTCATGCCCAGCTGAGCCTTTCTGTCTGTCTCTGAAGTTTCCTATGAGACCATTGTGTTCACATATCTCTTTTATTTTTCTTTTCTTTCAGGACATTTGTCAGCTGAAAATCCAACCCTTTGACCAAGCTGTTCAAACAGTGGCTTAACTGTGCCTTCCCTCAAAGCCCTTGGACAGGCTCCCTGTGCTCTGCCTGCCTGGCACAATCCTGAGAGTGACTGTGAGCCTTTCACCAGCTGGCCAGTGAGGGAAGAGGTTTTGGAGCACCAGAAGACTATAGAGCATACATCCTCTCTTGCCATATAGTCAGTGGCTTTGGTGGCTACCAGAGGACCACCACCTTCTATCACGCTGTCAGTGCAGAAGGGGCTAGAAAAGTGTGGGACACCCTGGGGATGAAAAGATCCCTTGGTGCCTTTGAGCTCTGGCAATAGGAGCTGTAGAAGCCAGTCCAGGGACCTAGAGCAGTGCAGGTGGTTGCTACCTGGAGAGATGCAGTGCCACTGCTGAACTGCTGATATTCAGAAAGTAGGAATGGGAGATACTTCTTCTGCAGAGAGGACAGCTGAGGGATTGAAGACAGTGTACCTGCTTTCCTTGCAGTCATGGCATGAAGTGCACAGAGTTTCCAGCTCTTGGGGCAGAAACTGCCCTAACTGTGCTCACATTCCAGGGCCGAGCAAATCCTCACCTGTAATTTTGGTGAAATATGCAGAGCATGTGCTAACCTTTAGCATATGTTAACCTTGAGCAAATGCTGTAGTGTCACTCCAAAAGTTAAACTTTGGAAATTTCCAAAAGCAGCAATGAACAGAGGAGGAACCCATTTGGCGTGGGTATTGCTTAGTTACTCTATCAAATTCCAAGTTATTTGGCTTCAGGGCTGTGTGGTTAGCCACCTGCAAGCCAATGCCTGTTTTTTCTTTGTGTTTAAATTTACTTCTGTGATGGCTTTACCTATATGGATAGATTTTGACATCCTGCTCCTCTGTTTCCCCAACTTAATTTTCAGGAGAAACTTCTTCTCTGTTATTCTTTCCCCATTCAGTGGCCAATTTTTAGTCCTCTGACGATTTGTAGGTACTCTGAAGAACCCAGACTGATTTCCTATTGGCAGTCTCTTCTGGATGTAGGCAGAGACATCTCTAGGATTCTGTGTTATCCTTGTGTAGCAGGGAAACAAGGCCTCCCACTGCCTAATGCTTTCACAGATTGTCCTTTGCTTCTTCACCTGTAAGACTGCTTGTTCTCAGAGCTCTGATCATTTGGCCAGGCAGAATTTGCAGCTCCCAGCAGTTTTAGTAGGAAAAGCCCAGCCAGCTGCATGTGTTGCAGGCTGAGGTAGGTTGGTTCACAGAACTCCCTGGAGATAATCCCTCAGTGCACAAGTTTTATGAACTCCAAGTGTTTGCACTTCACTTCATAGTTGCTAGTTTGGTATTGTGAGATGTCATCACCTGCAGCATGTGTTCTCCAGGCAGCTCTTCTCCGTGGGGAATCTGGCATCCCCTGGCATCGCTCTTATACTCTTAAGTCTTCACTGTGGGATGAAGTCTGTGCACTCTAGAAGGAGAATTTATTGCAGCAAGTCTTCACTTTTCTCCATTTGTCTCTCTTTAACTGATAATCCTCTAAATGCCATATCCCGTGTCAAGTGGAAACTGATGACAGTTTTTTTCTGAGCAGTTCTGGTCTGTTGGAATGCAAGGTGGCTTTTTGATCAAAGTTATATAAATGGATGCTTCACTCCCAAAGCTCAGGGAGGTTCCTATCCGTTTTTCACTTGAAGTTTGAAAGCAAATCTTTTGTCTTTCTCCTACTTTCACTTCATCTGGCAAGCTGTGGTTCTCAGGAGGCTGAATACTCTTGTAGTGCTTTGAAAAGATCCCATGTGGGACCTTGCTAACCTTGTATTTCTAATTCTTTCTTCCTCTGCATTTTGCTTATAGATGTGAACGGAAATGGGTTTTTGGAAAAGAGTTGTCATTCTCTGCTCTTTTTTAAGTAGCCGATACAGTATCTTCTGCAAGTGTCTATCTTTGCAAATATTCTGTCTTTTACACATCTGTTTGAAAAATAGCCATGCTTCAGGCTTAACTTACTGTGAATTGCAGCAACTTGGCTCCTACTGGCCCATCCAGACATTACTAGGTGACTGCTTTGCAGCCTCCACCTCAAAGCAGACAGCTCAGGGGTACTTTGGGGTGATCCTGCAGGAAATAGTGCATCATCAGTGCATCTTCAGCCTGATTGTGGTTTTCTCAAAATGCAGGAGCCTGTGTGAATGCACAATCCTTTCTGTGAAATAGCTCTATAAATATCTCCACTTTGCGTGGAGTGCCTGGTGGCTGCTTTGCCAACAGGATACTGTTGCTCATCACTTGATCACTTAAAGTTCAGCTGGAATCTTCTTGCTTTTAGACTTGCTTATAGCTTTTGGACTGATAGACACATTCTTGGAGCACTCTAGAGGATATCCAGATGATCCTTTCCAAGAGGAGGCCAATACTTACCTAAATCCTGTCTTTCCAAAGTATTTGGCTGTGGCAGTTGCACACTCTGCATATACAGTCCAGACACTTTCGTTCATCGGGAATTTCCACCATGCACTTGCACAGAGAAGCGCTGATACTGATGCCTGGCATAGCAGAGAGGAAAGTACAGTCTTTCTGATACAAGAAGAGAACGTTTCAGAGAAAATCTGGAGCAGGTTCTCCATCTTGATTTTTTTCCTTAGGACACGCTATCCTGGTATTACCAATTAAAGTTTGTAACTGTGTGGCCTTCCATTTGCAAAGTACTTCAGGGTTCTTGTGCAGTTGTTAGTGATGGGACCAAGGCCCTGTGAGAAAGTGACTGCATTTCTTTCCACTGTAGCTGACCTTCAGCGGTGTGACAGTGGAACACGACCAGCGGTACGTTCATTTTGCATCCACTAAGCACGTCTTCGCACCCGTCGCTGTTGGATGCTCCCAACCCCCCACACAGGTGAGCATTTTGGAGCCAAACCCAGCAGCAAGTGTAGGGAAGGAGCTAGTACTGCTGTGTGCCAAGGACTGGCAGTGTCTGAGGCAATTCTCAGAAAATGGAATGGCCTCCGCAGTGAAGCATCGCAGGAGAACTTTGAGGATAGTTCTAAGCAGAGTTTGGAAATAGCTGCTGAGACAGCAGCAGGGAAAGGACTTCTCACCATCTGCAGTTTGACAAGATTTGATGTTCACTCTATAATCACAATGCTTATGAGGCATGTTGGGCTGTTCACATATTATCTTGCATTGTATCTGAGTGAAAACTTGCCTAGCTGCTCCAAGTACTCTGGAAATAAACCCTAATTAGTTTTTTAGTAAATTAATTTAACTTCCTTAAACACTTATTCAGCAAAAACACTTATTGATTCTGTTCTGCCTAATTTACTTGGGAAGTGAAAAAGTCTGAATTTAATTAAGAGCACTTTAATACAAGTGTTTTTGCATTATATGTAATCCGCTTTACAGTGATCCCTTTAGCTAATCTGTATTAATTTTCCCCTAGTCTGACTTGGCAGGACACCATTTGGAGAGGCACTTTGGTTATCAATGTACATGTTTGGTGATAAACCTTCAGCACAGCTACCTATCAGAGCCTCAGTGTTAAATCTTGACACTATGAGGTCTCCTCATTCTTAGGAGATAAACTGATTAATTAAATATTAATGCTTATCAGCATCCTCTGGGGAAGTGTTAACTAGTTTAACTTGTATCTGGTATAAAAAGCACTGCTCTTTCCTACTCACTTCAGATTTATAAACTCTACAATGGTGGCTCCATGCCTGTGACATTTGAGGTTCAGCTGGACAACATTGTGAAGATAAAGGAGAAGAATTTTCAGCATCCTGTGTTTGTCTGCCTAACTCCTAGAGGAGAAATTCCCCCTGGTGAAGCGGGGCACATTGAATGGATCTTCTCACCTCTGGAAGCTAAAACATACACGGTAAGAGCCTCCTCATGACTGAAACATTCAACAACAACTGATTTCTCTTGTTGACCTAAAATTCTTTAGGTTCCTTACCAGTGGTTGGTCCATGTAATGCTACAGCTGAATAAAGCTCTATGCCTCCAAGAAGCAAAGAGTCTTTAGAGCAAATGAGTGGCTGGTCTGATCTGGAAGTGGAGCAGATAAATTTGCCTCATAATTTTTTTTCTTCCCAAGAAGAGATATCTTCCATAACCAGAGTTATTCCAGTATATGTTTTTCAAGTATCAAACAGTAACTGGAGATATCAATAATAGTATCTGTTCAGATTTGTGGTTCATTGTTGGCCTCCAGAAATTCCCATCAAAGAGACTGAAGTCGGTGTCTTCTATCATTACAGTGTATGCTGCTGCAAACCTCTGAAAACAGCCTTCCCAAAGACCTCTGTCCTGGGCTGCAGCAGGCAGGCAAGGCCAGAGCTGTAGCACTACTTGTTGCTTCAGTCTGTGGTGAATGCATGGATAAATGGATAAATGAATGAATTTAAAACTCCAACCTTTGCTCCAAGAGGGAGTCTGTCCATCTCATACTGTAACTGGCTAATTGACTACTTAAGCAGCTTTCCTGGGCTAGCAGGAAAGGTCAAGGCCTGAAAGAGCAAAGAAGACTGGATTTGTCTTTATCCATGCATGAGGTGTATTTAGACCAGTCCATTAGCAAGTATGCTTACATATTGCACATCTCTCCCAAATGCGACTCTGGACTTAAAACTTCTATCTTGTCCGAGGCAGGTTGATGTTCTCATCGACATCCTGGAGGGTGACTCAACCCAGATTACTTTCCAGGGAGTAGGCTACAATCCAAATATTGTAAGAGAGGCTGCTACATCCAGACATTTTTTTTCTTCTGCGGTCATTCCAGGTTCTGCCAAGCTAACTGTGCCTGGGCAGGTAAGTCCCAAGTGTGGGATATGAGTGATATAATCAGTCCATAAATGTGTGTGAGAGACTGAAATATACAAGTGGCACCATCTTGCAGTAGTCTGTGTTTTGGGAGAATTCATTTGCCATGAGACAGAACAAGATATTTCCCTTCCAGCAGGTGATCTAGAGCTTAACTCATGGGAGCTGAAAGGTGTCTTCCTTCCAGCTTGTCACTTCCATAGCCATTAGAACAAAAATGGGTTTGGGTTTGTTCATGTAATTTTTTCTCGGAAGTTACGTCCCATCACAGATGCCTTTCTTCTGTGCAGCTATAACATCTTTTTCTTTCCTAAATCATTCTCAAGAAGACCATTCTATTCCTGCCATACTCTGTCAGGGCTTGGCTGCCACCATTTCCCAGCCAAACTCAGGTGATTCATAACCTGAATGCTGACTGCAGGATGGATGGTCACCTATTCAGCACAGGCAGAGGAATGCACTTGTTTGACCTGCTGCTGGCTCAGCAGGAGCTTGTCTGGCCTGTCTGGAGCTGGCCTGCCAGCCTGGACAATCTGTTGTTAAACTCACCCACAGATCCAAGCACAGTGAATGAGCATTACACAGCAGCAACAGAGGCTTTCTCCTGGCAGGTAAAAGATTCAACCTGTGTGACATTAGCATGCCTTCCTTGGAGCCAGCCACAGCTTCACATGCTCTTTTGCTTCCAGCAGGGCAATTCTATTCCTGAGAACAGCAAAGAGAAAGTGATTGGAAACTGCCTCAGTCTGACAATGAAGATGGCATTCTGCAAGGCTGTTTTCTGAAATCAAGTTTCTTTCTCTAATGATTACTGTACTGTACTAATGATTACTGTACTTAATTAGAGATTGCATTGTGCCTGGAGAATGGGACAAACTAGTAGCATACTAGTGGCAAGGTGTATTAGGGATCAATTTCCTAAAACTCACAGTCAGATTGATAGGGATTTTGCAGAAGCACACACCTCATGTTTCTCAATTGAAGTAGGAAAAGGCCTGGACTGCCAGTTCTGCAGAGAGAATCAGGATGTTACTGGTCCTCTGTGCTCCTGAGATCCTCTCCTGTCCAGTACCAGTGTTACATCTTATTCATTGCTCACTCAATCCCACTGCAACACAGCCGGCCTTTTGATGTAAAGTCACTGTAACCAGAGCAAAATTGTGAGAATTGTTACATTCTCTCCAGTTATTATAGTAAAGATAGCTGGTTAATATTATCTGTGAATTGCTGGACTTAGAGATGAGTATGACTTAGAGATGGCTGTATGACTCCCCTTCCCCAATGGCTAGGTCCCATCTTCCTTCCCTGCTGTTCCTTCTCAAGGTTTCTCCTTGTTTCCTGCAGGCAGCCACCTTGTCCCATCACAGGATTTGCCTTGGAAATATCCCAGACTGCACCAAAGCTGGTCGACTTGTCTTTCTCAACAATATCTCGAAGAGCAAGGCAGTGGTGTTTACCTGGCAGTTAAACTCCTGTAAAGAAATGGTGAGTCCTCTTTGATCTACGGCCTTCCTGCCCATCTCTGTTGTGCCATGAAAGGACCTTACAGCTCCATTTTCAACACGACACTCAGTTCTAGGAAATTGACTTTCTACTAGGTGATGAAAGGAAAAGTGAAGGCAAGGGTTAGGACAGGGGGAACAACAAGAATTCAGAAGGGCAATCCAAAGACTTTGGTGAGGTTATGTGAAGTTGGAACTACAAAATGCGATAACAAACCTCAGGACTCTGTCCACCATCAAAGGCTATGTTTGTTCTTGGAATATATCAACTGCATCTCTCTCATGCCACATACCTCTGAGAAGAGGTGTGTTCCCTGAGAAGAGAAAGCACACAGGAAGGTCTCAGGACAGTGAAATATCTCCTATGGGTTTTTTTTTCCTTTTTTATTTAATTTTTTTCTCCTCCTCCCGCCCTTTGCCCAGGTGTTGGAGGTTGCTCCAGAGTCAGGGGTTGCACAGCCTGGAGAGAGTGTCCCCTGCTTCATCACACTGCAGCCTACAGGGAATCCCTACTTCTGCAGAATAAATCTGGTGTGTGAGGTGAGACCCAGTTACCATGGGCATGTTATTGTGGTTCCCAAATGGCTGACCCCAGCAGTCAGCTGCTTGCTGCTTCCAGCTGAAGGAATCCTTCTTTGATACACACTTCTCACTTCTGAAGACACCTAGCTTCATCCTTCCTGGTGCTTTAAGCATCTTTCTGTCTGTGTGGTTCACTAGATGAAGTGTAATTGTGCAATGCATGGCTTTGTGAGGGGAGCCCAGCTGCTAGAAGTGATGGTTTGAATGGGAATGGCTTTCAGTGGATGCCAAAAACTTGATATCTGTAAAAAACAAGTCTCACTGCTTTGATATTATTGGGGGAACAGACCAACAGTAGTGTCCCCCTCAACACTTTCCAAGTTTTCTTTGGCAAGAGAGTATATCTTCTCTGACTGAGATTTAAAATACCACTGTGTTTTCCTCTTCCTGCCACTGGAATACATGGAAAGCAAGTGGGTTTCTTCCTGGGACCTCCTGAAGGGGAGAAACCGGCATAGACTTGAGCCAAGGACTGCTATTTTCAACTCTTTTCTAGCCCTGCTCCCTTCAGTTGTGGTTTGTTTCCTAGGTGTACATCCAGGAGTCCCTGGTTCAGTATGAGAGGGATCTGCATGAGTGGGAAAAGGAGAAGGAACGGCAGGCTGTGGAATTCACCATCACAGAGAAGGACCTTGGGATTAAGAAGAAGCTAAAGTCACCTTCAGTGGTAAGTGCTCTCAAAACCTTGCACCAGCTTAGCTTTGCTCAAGAAACAGCAGCCAGTGTTGACAAGAAACATTCTTTAGGAAAACCTAGGCAGTTGTTAAGAGGACAGGACACTGATCTGTTAAAGACCTCAAAGCTGATCTGTGGTTAGGAGGAAAATGAGATCTTGTTTTCCAGCCAAGAATCATCTTACAAGCTGAAATTTCTAGTGACCATCTGAAATTTGAAAGTGCATGAGAAGCCTTTGGAAAAACAAAGCCGGTGACTCTGGAAACCAATGGTTGGGTTTTTAACCATGAATAAACACTGGAGAGAAATGTGTAGCTAGCACTAAGAATGTGGTCTAAGTGAAGAATGGAGGATAAGATCATTGATTCTCAGCTGGCACAAAGTTTAAAAAATATCCTAAGGTCTTGTTCTGCTCTGTATCTTCCCCATATGGTAATTCTTCTTCTCTTTTTTTTTTTTTAATTTAATATTTTATTTTATTTTTCAGAGGTTATCAGATTCTGCTGAAACAGCAAATCTTCCTGAATCATCAGCTGTGATCAGGAAATACAAGGTAAATCAGGCCTGTCTCAGTCGTGGTAGAATCAAAGTGACTGCTTTAGAAAAGAGGCAAATGCTGGATATCACAGTGTGGGAGTCTGGACAGAGAGCACAGCAGGATTTGTAGCGTCAAGGCTTTGAGAGACAGACTGTTTGGAGGAGGCAGAAGAATCACACTGTCTGGCTGTGTTCTCTGGCCAGTAACTTTCCAGCTGAGGTGAATGGGAACTGAAATTGGCATCAAACATGCACCCATGACTGGAGAATTGAGGAAAGGTTTCAAATAAGCAGAAAAAATGCACAGAGACAGGGCAATTGGTACCTGTACTGGTTTCATTTTGGGGTCACAATGGAATGTGTGCCACAGCAGAAAGCAGCAGGACCCTGGCAGAATGTGGTGCAGACTTTGTCCTCAACTCAAGAAGAGCTGTGCTCTGTTCCTCAGGAGAAGCTGCAGACAGGAACTGCCTTAGTTTAAATACACAGAAAGCTTTAAAGCTCAGTTTGCCTGGTTCATCAGTTTCCACTCAAGTGCACAACTGTATGCACTGCTGTAAGACAGCTTTTCCAGCAGTGGTGGGAAGGTGTGAAACAAGGTCCCGGTGAGTGCTCTGCAGACCTACCTGGGCCCAAAGGAAGAACCAGCAGTGCCTATAGCCATCAGCAAGATGTGCTGTGGGAATGACAGGGCTCAAAGCTAACCCAAGATGTGGAGAGATTTAGGGGAGCTGAGGAGAGGCTGGGCCTGAGAGGACTGAGGCAACAAGGAGATGTAGCTTGTTATCTCAGGAATTCCACCACAGTGAGGCTGTAACAGTGCTCCTGAGACCCCATGGGTGCCTTTGCACGCCTTGCACTGTTCTGCATGAAGGAATCAGTCCAGGGCAACTCTAGCTTGGACTGTTTTCCCTGTGCTGTTTGGTGTGATCAGTGATGCAGGTCAAAGCATTCACTGGATGAGCATAAAGATGGCTGCAGAAAGGTAAAAACAGTTTCATTTAATCCTCCAGGATTTTAACCTGTAGTGATAATTTGGAGCCTGCTGTGTCTATGTAAGGAGCAGTGCAGGCCCCTAACCTCATTCCCAGAGGCAGGACAGCCGTGTCTCAAAGATCACTGAAGTCCTGTGATGCCCGAGGACTTCTCCAGGTCTCTGTGGTGTCCTTCTGGCCCAGGCATCCTGGCTACTGCTCTAAGAAATTTCCCCCAACCTGACTGCTGGTAATGCAACCCCAAGCTGGCCCGTGTAGTGTGGCTGGAGTCAGTTCCTGGTTTCCCTTCAGGTCTGGGGGAGGACAATTTCCCAGTGCATTCCATCCATGTATGTCACTTCTCCTGCAGCACTCCCGGTGTGCTTGCAAGAGCTTCCACTGTGATGGATTGGAGAACAACAGCCCCAAGTACCTTAGGGAGACCCTGAAGACCTGTTGACACTTGGGGCTGGCACACTGGTCAGTGAGAAGGGAAGAGACCTGATTTCCACTATGGCTGCTCATGCCTGTTAGTACTGTGGTGCTAAGATCATTTTGACACCCACTCTAGTGGGTCTGGTTGCTGGGCTTTCAGTTCTCATGCCTGTGCTCAAACCTACACCAGCCTGCTTGTGGCCAAAGGACCAACTATATGCCTGCCATTTCTTTCCCTCCAACAGACATTACCCCCTATTAAAAGCCGCCCTACACCCAGTCAGCCACCTGGACACAATGACAAGGGGCTGTTGGACAAAGATACCAGCCAGAAGTGGGTCAAACCAGAGCCTCCCACGCCCTTGTTCTTACACCTTGACGTGTCAGCCAGGTCCTACGCTATTGAGGACTTCCTCAGCAACTTTGCCTTGGATTTTCACAGATACTTCTTATCCCGGTAAGAGATAGAGTTTTTTGGATTGGCAGCTTCATCTGAGCCAAGGCTGCCCATGCTCTGATATGCACTGAACTTGGTGCTCTACTCTACTCCTCTCCAGTGCCTCAGAATTAAGTAAGCGGTGTCTTGCTTTCCCCAGCATTAGCTGACATGACCTGTTACTCTCTCCACCTCAGCTGTCAGAGCTCAGTGTTCCACTTTTATGACAGTGTCCCTGCTCATGTCAGAAATATGACAGCTCCCACCCCTCCCCTGCTTGCCTGACATGCTGCTGCAGTGCTAGGAGGGTGCTGGTCTTTGAAAGTTTGGTTCTGTAATGTTGCCACTGATGGAATAACTCCTCCTTTCTCAGCCCTTTCAGCACCCAGCCCTCAGAGTGCAAATTGGTGGATGGAAGTAGGCACAGAAACAGGACGGACGTGGAGCTCAAACAGCTGTCCTTGGCTTCTGCTTCTAAACAAGAGCTGGAGGTGGTGACTGACATACTCACAGGTGTCATCAGGTGTGTGTCCTTTCACCCTCACCTGGTTTGGAGCCCCTGTCCTCCAGAGAATGAGTGCAGCATGGTCAGCCCTCTGCTAAGCCTAGAGGAATCTGTGCACTCTTGTTGCCAGAATGGGGGATCCACCGGCTAAAAGCTGTCTTGGGACTATGAGCTCTGATCCTGGAGAGACAGCCAAGGCAGGGGCTTCCTTCCCAGCCAGGGGTTGAGCCCATCTTTCCAGAGTTCCCAGGAACCAGGTGACTCTACCTACTCTTATCTTGGGAGCAGGCTGCGTTGGGGTGCACCTATTCAGTTTGTGAGCTGCACAAATGTAAAGAACCAGCACTGGGAAAACAGAGGTAGTTTCACTGCTTAAGGCCTCTTGCTGCTTCCCTTAGGCCCAGAAAGCAAGAAGCTACAGACTAAACACTGACATCAGTCAGTGATTTCCTCTGATTTGTGGTGTCTTGTAATAATCCTCTGGGTCATACAGATAGCCAATTTGCTGGAATTATCCTTTATTTTCCTCTTCCTAGAAGCCTCTTGGAGGATGGCCACTTCCAGACATCAGTGAGAAAAATCCAAGATGAGCCTATTCCATATTTCTCCCAGTTCCAGTCTGCAAAATCAGCAGAGCTCCAGGACAGTAGACAGGGCTCCACGTTCCCCTCCAGGGTCTCTTTTTTGACAGATCTTGACCTTGAGAAGGATGGAGAGAGGAAAAAAATTAGTCAGGAAACTTCTCCCAGTGATTTGCCAGAGTCTTGCAAGACTTTTCACCATAAGGAGTTGATGGAAAAGGAGATCATAAGTAGGTGAGGAAGATCTCACATGTAAAAGCCAAGAGCTGCACAGTCAGGAGAGCCATGGCAGCACACTGTCTGGCCAGAAATCCTGTTCTCCTTCAGCCCTGCAGCATTTCTGCTGGTGTGTTGTGTTGCCTGGGTGGAAGTTAATGCCCACCTAGCCACCCTCTCCCAAATGTGCTTTGTAGGGAGAGGTTTACTGTGTCTGGGGTTGAGCCGTGGACAGTGCCAGGATGCTGGTAGTGAATGATGTCTACTTTACTCTCAGGTAGTCTAGGCCATATTAGACATTAGGGTGCAGTATGTGCTTACCTTACCTCTTATTTTCACGGCAGTATTCCACCACCTTGCATTTGCTATGGCTGCTCCCTTGTACACTGCTACAAGCTACAAGCATTATTCACTATTAGCAGCTACACACAGCTTGGAGGGAGAAACCAGTAAAACTATAGTCACCCAGCTTTGTCTAAGGTCAGTGCCTGACACCAGCTGGTGACAATTCTGGGACAAGGGTCAGCAACCCATTGCTCAAGTCTTTGGTTCATTGGTCTCAGCGTGTAGGAAACAGTGTATGCTCCACTGCTGTGCCTGATGATTCCTGGCAGGAGTCACAGCAAGCAGCCTGCCTTATCTGCTTTCTGATAGCTGTCCTCTGCTATACTTCTGTCCTTCTAGGCAGCCAGCTGTTGGGAACCTTGTGGAGCTGGTGCTGGAAAACATACTGCAGAACATCCTGATTGAAGCCAGCCGTGGGGAGGTGGTGCTGACAGCCCAGCCCAGGATCATTGCTTTACCCCCCAATGCCTCCCGAAGGTAGCAGAGTGTATCTGTGCTCTGGTGGGGGACAGAACCTGTCCTTAACATGTCAGGCTGAAGAACAGCCATGTGGGTTAGCTGGATCCCTGTCTATCAATGCCAAGGCTGCCTGTGCAAAATGAAGAATCCACTTCCAAAGTCTCTGCCCCCTCTTGGCTTGTCTGGAGCCACAGAGCAGAGGTGGTAACAGTACAGCTTTCCTGTGGACTTGACACCCTCATACAGCTCTGGGGCAGGGCCCTATGGGTGAATGGTAGGCCTGAGGCCCTGGAGAGCCTAGCAAAAGGATGGTCCTTTGGGAAAAGGGGTCAAGGAGCAGGCAACACAACCTCTGACAGCAGAAAGGGAGCAAAGTTTTCATAGTCCAAGATGGTGTGGGATCTAGCTTAGTAGAGGGAATGGCCACTGGTGGGGAAAGTAGATTTGTGTGAAATTCACTTTTGAGTGAAAAGCATAAGGGCTTGCCCTAGCTTGGGCAGAAGTGCAGCAAGATGGGATTGACGGTTAATGGAAGGTGGTTGTTGGATGTAGATGTCATCTCCAGAGCTGCCATCTCTTCTTCAGAATCACCAACCCGGCAACCCCACCCTGCAGAGCATAGCTGCTGGATACTGTGCTGCTTAAGCTCCTCAAGCACGTCAGCTCTCTCCATTCTTCATCCCTGTGATGTCCAGAGCAACTCGGACCCTCCCACACCATGACCTTAGCTCAGAATGTTGGCTTTCTCTGAGGTGGTATGTCCTGATTATGTTCTCAGCACCAATTTGAATCCTCTGACAACTCCACAGCAGAGTTCATGAGATCCCTCCTTTCTGTGGCTGGCCACATCATCGGAGAAGAACTCTATGCTACAGGGAGCACATGGACAACCACTGTGACAATTCCCACTATCCTCAGCCTGCACCGGCTGAGAGGAGTGGAATCTGCTTTGGAATGTAGCTGAGGAGGGACTGACATTTGGGCAATGAGGTGATGGGATCAGCAGGATGCAGGTACTGTATCCTCCTCCCCTCCTTGCTCCAGTGGCGACTGCAGGTTCCCTTTCCAGCGAGCAGCCCGAGGGGGCAGCTGCAGCACAATCAGTACACGCGGCAAGCCAATAAAAGCAGCTTGACCTTCAGACACCGGCACCGTGTGTAGCATACGTAATTCATGCGTCTGGGTTTGGGAGCCCTGGACAAGGTCTTCCCTTTCCAAAATGCAAGGCTGTCACCTAGGGAGGGGGATCCTCTGAGCCGTGGCTTGGCCTGCCGAGTCCATCAGGCTGCAAGAGGTGTCACAGTGAAGGAGCATGTTTGTCACAGCCGGGAGGTGGCAGCGTGAGTTGTGAGAAATCCCAGTGGCCAGCACAGAACAGGCTGGCGCTGGGTTCCAGCTGCTGCTCCCAGGAGGAGCTGCAGGATGGCTGTGCCAAGCTGTGCACATCCCCTGTTCTATCGTACCACTATGGAATCTGCAATATGGGGCTCACGCAGCCACCCAGCTCTGGTAAGGGTGCAGTGTTGGTGTCTCCCTCCAAACCCTCATGCCTTGTTTCCCAGTACCAGGACCCAGCCAAGACCAGAGCTGCATCTTCCCTCACATCTTAAGAGAAGTCTGTGCAAAAGGCACTGTGGAAGGGTTTTGCCTCGCTCAGCAGAGGGCAGTTGCCTGCTGTGCCTGGGGCACTGCAGCTCACCCAACTTCACCCCAGCACTGCTCTCTGTGCAGGAGCCCTGTGTGCGTAACTGTTACTAAGCCCCAGGGCTGAGCTGTTCCTGTTGTCAGAGATACAGCCGAGGCGCTGCCAGCTCCTGAACTCGGCCTGAGTGCCTTGGGCCTTCACATGGGTCCTGGATCCTTCTCATGAGAAGTGCAAACCCTCTCCTCCCTTCCCAATACTCTGCATGCCAGGTCTCCTAATATCACAGCAATCTTTCTGTATTCCTCGGGGCTTTGCCTAGTGCTGAACAGGTAATGCAGAACCACTTCCTTTTTCGCACCTCAAGGCAGCAGCAGGGCCTGGCTGTTCAGTCCACTTGGACTGATTATTCTTGGTCCAGGCTCCTCTAGGATTTGCTCTCTGCAGATGCTCTGTTGTCCTGCAACAAAGTTCCCAAATGGGTAGCAAAGGCAGGGGCAGAAATTCGCTGTTGCCCTAAAGCAGGTTGAATCCGGGTACCCAAGGGCAGCATGGAGCAGTGAAGACAGGTCAGTCAGTTTGTCCATCCTCAGAGCTGCTGTGTGATCTAATGCTCGTTGGGCTGCACCACTGCAGCTGCACCATTGCATCCACTACCTGGAGGAGCTGACATGAGAAATGCTGTGTGTTGGTCTGGTGTCACGCCCAAAAACAAATGGTGAGAACCTGAGTGCCATCAATGTGCAGGGAATTTTTTATGCCATTAAAGCTTCTGTTCTCCTCACTTTCCTGTGCTGCCAGCCTGGACCTGGAGAAAACAGAAGTCACACTCTGCTTGCCTGTTGGAGCACTATTAGAGGGAAATTCACTTGTTTGATAAGCATCACTCTAGTAGGAGAGATCTGGAAGATGATGCCTCAAACAACAGGTGAGTCAGGGAAACGGATTTGAGAGCTAGTTACACCTGTGAGAGAGAATTTTTTCTTCTCTCAGCTCTTTTTAGAGGCTGTGAGATGGTGGGTGGTGTGTCATCTCTGTTGTAGGTCTTCTCTGGTGCCTGTCAACCGGAACCATTCTGAGTGCACTAAACAAAGAGAGTAGCAGCTGTCACACACTTTTCTCCTTTTATCCTCATCCTGAAATATAAATACACCAGGGGAAGCCTTTTTTCCACATTGGGGAAATTCCCAATTCCTCTTCTCAGACTGGGAACTAGACCCTGACCCTAGTTTTGGAAAACACTTCAACATGTGACCGAGCCACATCACTGTCCTGTTAGCAAAGAGAGACAGCCACACTCCCAGATAGTGCTGGGGGTGAGCTCTGCATAGTGTGGAGCCTACAGTGTGGATTTCTCACCCAGGGGCTTCTCTCTCTCTTGGATCTTTGGGGCAATGGGGAGGTGAGGGGAGGGCAGAGATGTGCAGAGCTGGCAGGGAGGCACTTTGTCTTAGCCAGAGGTTTTGTTGGTAGCCACTGCCAAGGGCGATGAGCTTGTGGGACTATAGACTCACAGCCCAGCTCAGCACCTAAAGAGGGGAGAAGTCCTGTGTCTGCTAATGACATTTGGGTCTCAGGCAAAAGGAAGTTTGAGCTTGCTGTACTGTCTCCCAGTGGCTGGATTTGGCCACTGCTCAACAGAGCTACGTTTCTAGTGCACATCTCTCCAACAGAAATACTGTAGGTGCAGGTCCTGCTTCTTCCCACTGGTGTTTGGGCAGTGAAATGGGGGCTGTTCCCACGGGATTGGGGTTGGTAGCCAGGCCAGGCTCCCGGCAGGTATACAGCCAGCATGCCTATGGCTGAGCAGGAGCTTGGCAAGCTAATGGGACTCCCCTTCTCCTTGTTCAGATTATCGGGAGCACTCAGTCATCAGGCAGTTAATGCACCACACAACAGGCACTTTCTTCTTGGCTGTTACTCCTGGCTCCCAGGGAGGGGTGAAATGGCCTTGGGGCAGGTGGGCAACAGAAGCTATCCTGAATCCCATTAAAACATTTAACACCTGCTGAATCGTGCCATTGTGTGGGAGATAAAGGGAAGGGAAGGGAACAAAGCTGCTCTTAGGCTTCCCTGAGAGGGTGTCTCCTAGGCTTTACTGTCTCATTGCAGCTGGGGAACCTGAATCTCCTGCAAAGCCCCGCTTGGTGGGTCTCTGTGTCAGTGTGGGGAAGGCAGCAGTGTTAGAGGACAATGATTCCCTGGTTGGAAGCAGCCCCTTCTCCCTCTGTACAGTGTATGAGGTAGGAACCTGGAAAAGTCCTGCCCTCACCAGCTTGCAGCGTCTGAAGAGCAGAAGTGTGAGGGTGATCCTTCCAAAACCCTTGTCCAACCAAAGCCGGACAGATCCTTCACCCCTGGCCTCCCATCTCTGAGATACTAGGCTTTGCTGGCTCAGCTGTGTCACTTTGGTATTTGGGATTGGGAGCCATGCTCAGGCCAGGTCGGGGCACCATGCTGGCTCCTGATAGACACAAGATGTGCTCTGATGTGACCTAGTCAGTCTTCACGGGACAGTGAGGCAGCACAAGTCCTTGGCTGTTGCACGAGGAGGCTGAGACTGCCTTTCCAAGGCCAGCCATACTAAGAGCTCAGTCCCAGTGCTGCCCACCTGCCTGGCAGGGAAGGGCACAAACTGGTAGATGCTGCCCCAGAGATGCCAGAACAGGTACAAGATGTTCCCCAGGGTAGCAGTGCAGTGCAGGGCACTCTGCAAGCTAAAGGGACCTGCTTTTCTCGTGCTTTCTGTAAAGCAGCCCTGCAAGGACAGCATTTGCTGCTATTTAGCAAATAGGGGGCTCTGCCCTTGCGGGAGAGAGGCTGGGGTGAAAGAGCATTTCTGACACAGCATACAGGCTTGGAGAGGGCTGCTGGCACTGCAGCAGCACCTGTGGTATTTGGGGTTTTTGCTTCTCCAGAAAGAGGGGGCAGCAAATCAACCTATGCCAGGAGTTGTAACTCTCCTATGCTGCTGCGTGCCGGGGCAGGGAGGGGTGGGAGTCCTGTCCAGCACACTTCCCATATGAGGAAAGGAGAAATATGTAAGTCCAAGCATCACAGCCTGTACAGCATCAAAAGGAGGGGGAACATCACACTTCTTCACTGCACCACAACCCAGAGTATTGGTGGTATTGCCTTTCCTTTGCTGCCAAAATACTGAAAAAGGACCAGGATGAGCAGGGGCAGCAGGCTGGCATCTCTCCAACTCATCCCAGTGCCAGGCCTGGGGCCCCCAGCCTGCAGAGGCAGCAGCAGGTGGGAGGGAGGGAGCCTGCCTTTCAAAATCCTGTGTGTGAGAGGGTCAAGTCTTCAAGGAAGAAGAATTGGGTGGCAGTGGCTCCTACAGATCTGCCACTATCCTCTTACATTTGGGAATCCATTTACTGCAACCTGCAAGTACACTGCAGCTTGGGAGGGAGCAATGGTGATGGTTTCTAAAGCACACCTAGGACCAGGATTCCTGCAGGTGTACACCGTGGGGGTTAAAGGAGCGTTACCCCCTTCCCCACCCCAAACACACCCATCTACACAAACAAACAGGCCACTGCACTTGCACAAAGGAGCTTCTCCTGCCACTGCTGCTGCACTTCATGGTCTGTTATCCGAGGAGTTGTGGGTGCCAGAGTAACTGGAGAGAGAGTCCAGCTCCTGCTGCCTCTGGCTGAGATCAGCAGAGGGCTGTCAGGGCTGGGCAGCGTGGCTGGGCACTGTAGGAGTGTGTCTGAACTTCTCCTGGCTTCCACGAGCTCTGCCCCCAGAGCCAGCACAGGGACATCTACACTGGTTAACCTGCTGGGCAGTGACACAGCTGGGACACTGTGGTGCTGTGACTCTGGGATGCAGTGACCCACGGGGAAGCATGTGCACACGGAGTGAAACACATGGTGTTCTTGCTGCTGCGCTAGGACAGCTGGCTCCTGGCCTGTGTGGCCATGCAGGGAACACTCCCAAAGAGAGTGCTCCCAAAGTTTTGATGAGCTGTGCTTTGCTGCCTAGCTCAGAAGTCTGTGGATTGCTCTCAATGATGTGTGAGCATTGTGCTGGTGTGCCATTGAGATTTTCAGCATGAGTGGAGGGACTGGGGTAAGAACAAAGACGACTTTTCTATCACTGGCACTCAGACTGCTTGGGGTAGGCACTAGATTTGCTTTTCTGCCCTGAGACTTCACAACTCCCTGACCTTTCAGCAGCCCAAAACACTTCAAGAAAGCCACTGCCATCCTAGAGCTGCCCAGGTAGGGTATCCTCACACCTGCTTCCCCTGGCCCCCTGCTCTCCTCTCATCTCTGCTGCAAAGTGAGCCGGGCAGGTGGGTGGAAAAGTGACAGCTGGTGTTGTTCCAGTGCAGGTTAATGAATGTCTCCTCCTCTCCCCCTCACCACCTCCTCCCCACCACCCCAGCACCCAGGCTCCTGGCTCCTATCAGCCCATCAGGCTCCCATTAACAAAGGCTGCCCTGGAGAGTTTGCATAGAGACCTGCTCTGCCTCTAATCTAGGTGGGCTAATCGCCTCCCTTGGCCAGCCTGCCTTCCCTGGGTCAATATTTGCTCTGAGCAAACACAGAGCTGTGACAGGTGTGCTGGGGAGAAGGCTCGCTGCCGCCAGCCCAGCCCTCCTGCCTGTCTCTGCTCAGTCACATCTCTCCGGCCCCCCGATCACCGGCCAGCCAGCGCTATTTTTATCAGGACTATAAAAGCCCCATCCAGCCAGCGTCACCCTCATTTTCTGCTTGTGAGCCAGCGGGGGAAGGCGAAGCCACTCACCTGACAGCTGCCAGCGTGTCACCGGAGCCAGGTGAGCTGCTAGAGCCCAGCGCACCTTGGCCAGGATCCTGCCTTCCTGCCTGGGAACAGGGTACTGGGCATGGAGAACACCCTGGGGGCTTTTCCTAGACAAGTGCTGGGAGTCCGGTCACACACCCGAACTCCTGGGAAGGAAGGGGACGGGCTCAGGGGACACCGTCCAGCCTGTCCCCTTTCCTTAACTCTTCTCTCTCACTTGTATTTTCCAATCCTTTCTGTTCTCTCCCCCTCCTCCATTTACTTTCTTTCTTTCTTCCTTCCTTCCTTTCTTCCCTGTTCTCCACCCTGCCGTGCCAGTTAACCTGCCCCTGCTCCGTTTGGCTTTCCCAGGCAGCAGGTGTCAAGCATCCACTTTCCAGACCTTACCCCCGGAGGAGCTGCTTTGGAGCAGCATGTGCAGCAAAGGACACCGTGTCCCATCCTGGAAGGAAGGACCCAGCTCGGGAGGAAGGGGATGCTGACAGCCCAAGGCAGAGCACCCCTCCAGCCCGCACTATCCAAAATCAGAGCATCTCTGCACTTGCCTGGCGTCGAGCCCCACGTGCAATACCTGACCTGAACGTTTTGTTCGTTCGGCTCGCGTTAGGCAGGTCCAGCCCATCTGCGAGCGCAGGGCTGCCGCTCCCCCGGCACCCCGCACTCCCGCAGCCGCGCAGGGAGCGCTCACACGCCCGCTTGCAGCTCCTGCGTGCTCCACATCCAGGCTGCGTGCGGAGCAAAGGGCACCGGGGACGTGCACAGCACGCAATCTCACCCCAACACATGCAGCAGCGAGCGGCCAGTGCACACAGATGAAGCAATCCACACACAGCACGCATGAACGCCATGGGACTTCCACATGGGACGTGGGACCCAGGTGACACGGCATTTCTGGCACTCAGCTTTGTAGGCTCTGACGTGCAAGACCCATATCCGTGTGCCCATGGTACTAGGCACCCTCACCCTGCCTGCGTGGCTGACTGCTGCTTGTAGCAGCCTCCTGGGGAAGGGCAGCCTGGCCCTGGCAGCACTGCAGAGCCATGGCAGGCACAGAGAGCCCTGGCACGGTGCTGGCCCGGGGTGGAGTTTGGCAGGCTCTGCCAAGCACCCAGGTAGGTCTCAATGGTCTGCTGGCACCAAGGCAGCTTTGGCTGCTGACAGTGAAGCAGCGGGGAGGGAGGGCAGGCACAGGGAGCAAGGAGCAGGGCAGAGGATGAAGGGTGTCACATCCTTCTTGCCTCCCTCTGCCTTGATTCACTGCCAGGCTGCACTTCCCAGCCCTTCCATGACTGTCTGACTATCCAGGGCAGGTGTTTCCTGCTGTGCACCCTAAGTCTGCAGGCCGGGTGCCAGAGCCTGCTGCTGGCAATCCCTCTGCCCGTGCTTGCTGTGGAAGGGTATGGGGGGTGCTGCTGGGTCTCTTACAGGACAGCCTTGCTCACTGCCTGCCATGCTCTCCAAGCACAAGCGCTTGACCTGGACTCCTGTCCCATTCCACATCTGTCCCATCCTTCTCCCCCAGCAGCCAGAGAAGACATTCAGAGCCTGGGGCTGCTCCTTGCACCGTGGAGGCTGCAGGGAGTCATGGAGAGCTAGGAGATGGGACAGCAGTAAACCTGCTTTCCTCCCACCTCAAGATATTTTTTAGGAATGGAAAGATCCCTCACCCCCCTACTGTCTACGCTGGGCTCTGCCTTCGATTTCTCTGTCAGTTCTGACCTGTTTCTGCCCTGCCCTCAGGCACAGGCGCCCAGTTCTGGTTCCGCCATGCCTCAGGGATGCTCTGAGTTTACAGGTGGATCCTGAGCCCATCTGCAGCCTCTCTGCAACCACCAAAAACACTCAGCCCATCCACCCAGTGCGGATGGAGGAGAGGTTGGAGGTGAAGGAGCTCAGGAGTGTGCTAAGGGACAGGAGGATTCCTGCTGCTTTCCCTCACCTCCATACAGCTATGCACACGACAAAGCTCAGCAGCCCTGGTCCCAGAGCAGGAGAATCCTGTTCCCTCCTTGGGGTGTCCCTGCAAGGGGCAGAGATGAGGCACCTAGGTGTCCTGTTTGGGCAGATCATTTGGGAAGTTTCCATCAGGTGGTGTAGGTAGGGGCCAAAATCAAAGAGCATCTCTGCACTCCCTGCATCCCTCCAGAGCTAAGGGTCTATCCTAGCCTGGGAACAGCTCCCAGATGATGCAGTGATTGGCCATCACTGGGGTCATGGGCCCTTGGGGCTGTGTCTCCAGGCTCTGTGTCCCCTGCTACCAATCCTGGCAAAGTCAAAAAGCCGAGAAAGCACAACACACCCCCTGATATGCACAACCTCTGCAGCTGCCCTGCTCGGGCTGGGATCAAACAGAACATGATTAATAACTGTGAGCAAAGCCAGACCCTGCTGTCCATGTGCTCCAGTTGCTGCACGTGTGTCCCTGTGGGCGCAGAGCCTGCTGGAGACGGTATCTGGCAGAGCAAGGCTGTGGAAATGCAGCCATGCCACCTCTGCTTTCACCTGGTTGCTCCAGCCCCTCTGGGCTGCCTCACGCCCTGTCTGTCACCTTCCCAGCCTGCTCTCACTGCCCCAGCTCTGCCAGCCCAGTGCCACTGGGGAGCTGTGAAACTGTTCAAAGGTGGGACAGCCCCCAGAAGCCACATTGCCCCGAGGACTGTGTTACCTGGGGAATGACTCTCTGGCAGGATTAGCACCCAAGGGTGAGCTTCTCCTCACTACAGGCAGAGCCAGAGGCATTAAACACCCACTTTTACGTGTCAGAGCCAGTGCTGGTATCAAGGGTACCAAGGCTGGCATGGGATGGGGCACAATGGGGTATTGCTGTCTGTGCTGGGTGGTGCTGTTCCCCAAACCCTGGGCTCTGCATGGCCCGTGACACAGCTTTGGGGACCTTGGGGTGTGGGCTGGGGATTTCCATGGCACAGTTCTGCACCAGGAGGATTTGCATGGAGAGGGCAGGGTGCAGGAGGAGCACTGGGGAGACGCAAGTGCCCAGGTTTGGATTTGCACATAGGTGCAGTTTCACACAGGTGTGTATGTGCATGCATGCCTGTGTGTTTGCATAGGTGTTTCCATGTGTGTGCCCTCCCTGGCAGCAGAGCAGAGCTGGTGCATCCCTGTCCTGGATGTGCACGTGTGTGTGTTCTGCTGAGCTGAACGGGTGGGGCTGCCCATGTCCCTGCTGTGCTTGCTGCTGTTTCCTGGTGTGTGCAGCGGAAGATGTGGGTGTGAGCAGAGGTGTGCACTGCTGCTGGCAGCCTCTGGGCTGCTCATGTCCTGCCCAGCCCGGATGGGGTGTGCCACCCTGGGGCAGGCACTGCTTTACCTCAGGATGTGGGAGAGGCAGCTGGTTGCCCTCAGCACGGCAGTGCCCCGGAGGGGACCAGCCCACAGGGCTGTGTGGGCACCTCAGGGGCTGAGAACCAGGGTGGTGTGAGCACCCCTAGACCTCAACTGACCCCACTCAGTCTGTTTGGCACATCTCTGCTGTGCCTGAAGGAGGTGCCCAGGCAGAGCAGGAGCTCCCTGCCCCTCAAAGTCAGTCTGTGCCACTGTGGGTACCCAGACACAGGAGACAGGCTGCTTGTGATGCTGGGGATGAACAATGTTGGAGGCCAGGGTGCTGCTCCAGCCTGCTCCTGGCATGGCCAGACTTGAGGCAGGAAGCACAGGGACTCTCTCTGTGTTGGGGTCCTGCACTCCCTTTGCCAGGCTTCAGATACTGTCACCAGGCAATGAATCCATCCCACACACCACCCCCAGCTGAAGACAATAAGAAGAGGCAGTCTTCAGTCTGCCTGGGCTCTGGGACAAGACAAGTTTATCCCCCTCTGTCAGACAGGGTGGAGGGGAGAGGTGGGTCCCAGGCACGGATCTGCATTCTGCTGCAATGAAACTACAGGAATTCTGCACACTCCAACCCATTCCTGGCCATGGGGAGTATCAGGGACAGCACAGGTACAGCCTGGCATCCTCCTCCCTGCACCCACAGACCACTGGGGTGAGGGGACATGTTTTACAATTGCCCCCAAAAAATGTCTTTGAACCCCCATGAGAGAAAGGGATAAGGCAGAGCCCTGATGAAGGATTCAGGATGCCAGGGGAGGAAAAGCCCAGAGCTTACACTAGTCCTACATCTTAGAGCATATCAGCCCCATCCTCCCATGGGGCCTCCAGGGAAGGGGTGAGTGATGGGGCTCCTCTCTTCCCAGCCAGTGGCTCTGGGAAGTGCGTGGGCAGGCTGTCCGGGGGATGGACACCGAGCAGGCTGCCAGGGCTGCTGCTCCTGGCCCAGCTATTGCTGCCTTCAGGAGCTCTGAGGCAGGATGTTCTGTTCTTGTGGCAGTGCCTGGCTCAGCCCCCGCCTGTGCTGATCCTCAGAGCTGCTGGAGGGGGGACCCACCCCTGCTGACCTTTTCATCTGCCTTCTGCATGAGCATCACCCAGGCTTGGGGTGCCTGCCACTACAGATATGGCCAACAGGACAGTGGAGGAGCACTGGGGTGGAGTGGGACCGTGGCCAGGTGCCAGCTGAGCTGGTGTCCCCTGGCTCTGAGGCTGCCAGGGGCTGCCAGCCTTAATCTTGCACTCTGCCCCTCCATGACAACACCCTAGCTGCTATAGGTAAAGGTGGCATCTGGGAAGCTGTGCTCACCCCGTGGTATGTCTCCAAAATGACACAGTGTGCTGGAGGAGATGCATCAGCAGCTGCATTCAGGCCAGGCTGGGTGTGGGCTGGGACATGCTCCCCTGTCTCCATCACCACAGCCCTGGAACTGGTCTGCACTGGGGACTCTGTGAGGACCAGCAAACTTCTCCAGGACACTGAAGATATGGGGTGCCCTAGAGGTGCCAGGCTGAGGTTACCTGTGGTAACAAGCAGAAGGTCACAGTGGCTGGCACCAGCAGCTCCCTTCCAGGTCAGGATCTGGACCAGAGGACCAGATACTGGCTCCTCTGCCCCAGTGCCTGGCATCTCCAGCTGGGTAGGGTGTGACAGAGAGGACACCTCAGGCTGAAAGGGACATGCCACCCTGGGTTCCCTTTTGGAGCAGTCTGGCTTGGTTTCGTGCTGCTGTCAGTTCCCTAGCAGGGCTGGGCTAAGCTGGGGAGGCAGCCTCTGCCACCTGCTCACACCCAGGCTGTAATCCACAGGCAGGAGGAGAGCAGCTGGCAGAGCCTCCCTGACCTTCAGGTGGGATTAGTCCCCATGGGAACAGTGGGGAGCAGGCAGGTGAGCCGCAGCTCCCCGGGCAGTTTGTGGGGACTGAGCACACCCCCATGCTGGGGACAGCCAGAGTCGGGTGGGGAATGGGTGGCACAGGGTGAACCTGTGTCCCTGGGAGCATCCTCGTGCTGGTGGGTGGTTGCAGGCGCACCTGCAGAGCTGTGGGTGCCACGGGGCAGAGTGGGCAGCTGCAGTCCCGCGAGGAGGGAGTGTGCCTGGGGTGGCCACGGTGCCAGTGGCATGGAGCAGCTGGCAGCCCACAGTGTGCATGTGCACCTGCGTGGGAGCTAATCCAGAACATCTGCCAGGCGCTCTGCCATGCCAGGAGCTTCTGGCTGCAGGGATGGGTGGCTGCGTGCACAGGGGACACGTGTGTGGGGGCAGCTGGCCAGTGCCAGGGCTCCCTGTGCCAGGCAGTGCCAGCGTGAGGAGGCTTCCGTGGCAGATGTGTGCCTGGACACGTATGGCTCATGTGGCCAGCAAAGCTTCTGGAGGGGACAAGTGGCACTGGGGATCCCAGCAACCCTCTTGGCTATGGGATCCAGGATTCAGCAGGTGGAAGTAGGGGTTTTGGCTGTGATTAACCAGTCCTGGTGTGGCCATATTCAGAGCAGCCCTGAAGCACAGGCGACTGGAGAGAGAAGGAAGGTGTTTGCATCCTTGTCGAGGAGGATGATTTCCCACAGAAATGAGTCTGGGGGAGAAAGCAAAGAAAAAAGGGAGCAGTGGGGCCGTGTGGGGGCAATGATACACCACCCCTGATCTAATCAGCCTGACCCTGCAAATAAAAGCCACCTGTTTTGGCCCTGACAGCAGGAAGCCATCCCTAGAACAAACAGAGCACCAGGCAACTGGAAGAAAGACAAACAGGGGCCGGCACCAGCTCCATCTGCTCCTGTTTGGCCCAGCCCCCAGACCTCCAGCCCCCTGAGGTGCGGGTCCAGCCCCCAGCAGGGCTGGGGAGAAGGAGTGAGCAGCTAGAGGTCCTTGCAGGGTGTGACCAAGGCTCAGCCTATGGCGTCAGCCAGGTGGGCCACACCCAGCTGTGCTGCCCTGGTCAGCCAGCCCAGATATTCCTGACATCAATGGGCACAGCTGTGTATTGCCACAGACACGGCAGCACCTCAGGATTCCTCAGGTAGCACCTGCCTCACCTCTCTTGTGGCTGCCCTTCAGCCTGCTCGGCTCCCCGGGCTGTGCGCTGTCCTGGGCCCGGTGCCTGCGCAAGGCACGGGGTCCAGCCCCATGGTTGGCATGGTCTGGGCTTGGCATGGAGCACTTGGGTGACCTTGTGCTCCCACCGTGCCCCCGGGCTGCCGGGCTGTGCCCAGGGGCACTGAGAAACATGATCTGTTTTGCTAGTGCAGGGAACAAGCTGAGCTGGGAGCTACGAGGGGCCCTTATTAAATTAGCCTATGCAGGAGGCCTGGGCGAGTGCTAACCAGCTCCCAGAGCCAGTGTTAGCAGCTGCCCTTGAGCAGAGTCACTGCCTGCCCCCGCAGCAGCCTCCCTCTGCCCCTGTCCCCAGCTGGGCAGGTGTGGCTGGGGGCTTGCAGGTGACCTAGCCAGGGGAATGCTGGCTGGTGACAGAGACCACCTGGAGCTGGCCCATGGAGGACAGGCTGCATCAGCATTCTGGGATGCAGCAAGGGAAGGCTCCTTGTGAGCGACCCCACCGATCCACTGTGCCCTGTGATGTGGCTGCCCTGAAAGTACCAAGCAGGAGGTGAAGCACGGCCCAGTGAGTACGTGCTGAGGAACAAGGGAGGGGCACAGTCTGCAGCTGGGTTCCTCCTCTGCACCATTCACCTTCCAGTGCTTTTATCCAAAATGTTGCACGGGGATGGCTGAACGGCTTGCATGCTCCTCACGGCACACCCCCGTGCCCCATGGATGCTGTCAACACCATACAGTGCCCCACACACTCCACTCCACATCCTAGAACAGCTTGCAGCATCCTATGTATTCTGTGGTGCCTCACCTACTGAGGCTCTGCAGTACACCCCACAGTGCCCTGCACCTCAATGTCCCCAACTGCCCTGATGCCTCAAGCACCCCAAACTAACCAGTGCACTACACCTCTGTTCACCCCGCCCAGGCAAGGGGTGGCAGCACCGTGGGGACACCCTGCAGTGCACTAGCTCTGCATCTTGCCTCATCTTGCCTCTTGCGTCTTCGCCAAGGTGATGGATTCCCTAAATGCTGCCCAGACCTGTCTCCCAGCATTTTGACAGATGTCCCCAGGCCACTAGGCTGCTCCGGGGTGCTCTTGCTTCTCCAGGGAGCATCCCTGTCCTTCCCTCCAGCTTCTGCTTCCCCAGACAGCTGCAAGAGGGTCTCCCCCTCCCTGCTAGGAGCACTTCAGGCAACGCAAACTGAGGGTCGCCTCTCCAGCACCTGTCCCCTCCCAAGGGCCACTAATGTCCCTGAGCTGGAGCCTGCTCCAAGCGCTGCCAGGCTGCACCCTCTGCTGGGACCCGCAGGCATCGGCGCGGATTCGCACCGAGCCTCGGGGCCGTCGAGCAGCGGGAAAGTCACGAAGGGGAACCCCGAGTCCTACCCCCAGCCCGTCCTTGCTGTCATCCCTCAGTCCCCGATTCTTGTTGATGCCAGGTGTACTGGCCACCCCCAGCTGCTCACACTGCATGCTCCATAACCAGCAATGTCCGTGTGTCTTGTCCGGGATCCCCAGAAGGGCTGGAATTTTCCTGGGAAGGTTTGAGGTGTTGTGGTCTGGCCCTTGCCCAGTGGCCAGCATGGCACCTGCCCAGCTGAAGGTGGGGAGTGCCTGGCCTCACCACAGGCTACACAAGGATGCTGCAAGAAACACAGCTGCCTAGACACCCAGGATTTCACAGCCCAACAGGGCACTCTTCCTCCTTTCCAGCCTTGTCCATCCCAGGTACTGGTAGGAGACACTGGGGATAGATGCATGGCGTGGTGTATATCCAGGCAGGGCTGGTCCTCCTGTCCCGGTGAAGGACACAGCGCTGTTCCAAAGCTGGTCTCCTCCTGCTGTGCATAGTGTCCCTTGCCCAAGTGGGAGCACAGGGAGCTCTTTTTAAGTCAGGAGAAATGCTCAGGGCATTACAAGCACATAACTGGGGTCTGTTAGCACCAAGTCTCCAGCCAACACAGGAACCCCTGAAGGGCCTGGCTGGAAAAGAAACCCACGGTGGCAGAGTCCCACATGGAGGGGCAGAAGCAGCCCCAGATAAGCCCTGTGTTCCAGCGTGAGGACATTAGTGCCCCTCAGCTCCCAGATGGTAAATCCCCACTTCACCCTGGCACCTCCTTCCCACAAGCCTCAACCCTGGCAAAGGCTGCGGATGCCCTGGGAAAGGCTGGGTCCCTAATCCCCGGGCCAAGCGGGGACATTGTCCGGGGGCAGAAAGGAAAGCGGCGCGTCAGGCCCTTTGCCCATTGTGCCCTGAGCCCCTGCGCAAACACAGCCCAGCACTTTCATTGTCAGCCTCGCTGGGCGCGGGGGGGCCGCTCTCGCCACACTGCCTAAGTGGAATGGACAGCCGGAGTCTGGGGTGGGTGAGCCGCCCGTCCCCCCATCCCCTGCCTGCTGACACAGCGCCCTGGCCGCCTGCACCATCGGCGCTTCAGCTCCCGCCTATAAAGGGCGAAGGGAAAAGCCGGCGCCAGCACCGCCACCTTCGCTCCTGTGCCCTGCCCTCCGACCAAGTAAGTACCAGCTGTGAGCCCCCAGGACCCCCGGGCACTGCCCGCTCCCCTCACCGAGCCCCCACCCAGCGCTCACCCTGGGGAAGGGCGAGTGGCGGGGCGCTGTGTGGCACAGAGCGGGTGCCCTGTGCGGGCAGGAGGGACCCTGGCAGGAGGGATGGAGGAGCCGGGCCGCTCTGCCCCAGGGCTACACTTGCGTCTGCATCTGAGCTGCGGTCACTGCCGCCCGCCAGCAGTGGGTACAGTGCCACCGTACCCAGACAACTCCTGGAGCCATCGCAGGGAGCTCAGGAGAAAAACTGAGGCAGTCCTGGGTACATCACATAGAGAGATGGGGCACTGCAAATTCCCCCTGCAACTTGGGGTTCACTGGACAGAGAACCCCCAGCACCGAAGGAAAGGGAATGGGAAATGTCCCCCTGCCAGCCTGGGAGGGCAAGGGGCCAGTGGCGTGGGATGCGTGAGGGCAGCACCACGGGCATCCCAGGCTCAGCAGCAGGCAGTAGGGTGGCTGGCGGCTGACGGTGGGCACCTGCCCTGGGGTGATACGTGGGGCTCTGCCAGCAGCCGAGTGACCCGTATGACCAGCAGTGAAGCCATGGACACCCTGGGGCAGTACAAGATCACGGTGTGGGAGGAGGAGAACTTCCAGGGCAAGCGCTGCGAGTTCCTCATGGAGTGCCCCAGCATCATGGAGCGCGGCTTCCGCAAGATCCGCTCCATCAAGGTGGAGTCTGGCCCGTAAGTGCCCCGCCAGCCCCGCGGCCCCTTGGCACACCCCGCTCCAGCAAACCCACTGCTCCCAGGGAGCTGTTGGCAGCTGCCAGGGAGCCAAACACCCAAGTTCTTCCTCAGCTATGACACAGCCTCACCGTGCAACCTCCCTGCTTCTGCTCCTTGGGTTTTCCCATCTGCTAATCAGGGAGACCTTACCAAGGCAATGTGCAGGTTGAAGGCAATGATATGGCTTTGGGGAGAGGGGTCCCACTTCCAAAAGGGACATTTGCTGCTAGTGAGGACCCCAAGATATGTGAGAGACCTATAACCTGCCAGGATGTCTCTGTCCGTCCCCTGCCCAGGAAGGAGAAGCTGACCCCTGACTGATCCTGGGGACTCTGTCACATATCCCTGAGGGTTTTCCTCCTCTTCCTTGCAGCTGGGTAGGCTTCGAGTACCCTGAGTACCAGGGACAGCAGTTTATCCTGGAGAAGGGTGACTATCCCCGGTGGGAGGCCTGGAGCGGGAACAGTGGCTACCGAACCGAGCATCTCCTCTCCTTCCGGCCTGTCAAGTGCGCAGTGAGTTACTGGGACACCGCAGAGGGAGGGCTCAGGGCAGGCACAGCCTCCTCCAGGTAGCCCAGCGTGAAGGCGATGAGGGACAGACTGGAAGATGACTTACATGGGGCATGGGATAGAGGGCTGAGGTGTTCACAGAGGTACGCGTGAAATGGAGGAGTAGCTGCACCCACCAGCTCCCACCTCCCTGCAAAGATCCTGGGATGTTTTTAGGTCTAAAATTTAGCCTGACCCACAATTCCAGCTCCTCCTGCTTTGTGCTTTGGAGAGCCACCTCCCAGGCTGGGGTTCCAAGGCCTTGTCCACCAGCCCTGACTCCCGGGGATGAGATGAACAGAGAGGAGCCGGCGGGACCGCAGGGATGCTCGGAGCGCAGGGCCCGTCCCCCTCCCAGCCGGGGTACCTGAGGCGTGCCCAGGCAGACGCGGCCCTATCGCTCCATCTGCAGAGACACTGGTGCTCGCAGCAGCGGCACGTCTGCGCCTCCAAGCGGGCCCCCCCCCCCCAGCTTTTAATAATCACCAGGCAGATATGTTCAGGCTTTAATAAAGGGGATGCGATAAGATCGCTCCTTGCTGGCAGGACTGCTCCTCGGTGCAGATAGATGCATGTGGGGGCTGGGCACGGGGGACAGTGCTGCATCACTCAGTGTCCCAGCTGTTAACCCCACCGTGTCCAGCACCCAGAAAGGCCCCACAGAGCTGAGGGAACCTCTCTCAGCATCCTGCCTTGCCCTGAACCCCCCTGCATCCTTGGGGAGTGTGGTGATTCTGAGGGCAGCAGTCCATGTGGGTCCAGAGGTTGTAGCCACTAACTCTCACTGACAGCTGTGCATTGGGACCACAGGGACATGAGAGCAGCACCCTTGGGGCAGTTCTGGGGTGTCCCACTGAAGGGGGTGCCAGGCTGAAGGACATCCCCATGCATTGCACCAAAGCTGCTCATGGTCCCTGGCCTCTCAAAGTGCCTTGGTGTGTGTCACACTGACACCACATCCCCCATCCCTGGGCAAGCCAACCCATTCCTGCTGACCTCCAGCTCTCCCTCTCCACAGAACCACAATGACAGCAAAGTCATCCTCTACGAGGCTGAGAACTTCCAGGGTCACAAGTTCGAGCTGAGTGACGACTATCCCTCGCTGCAGGCCATGGGCTGGGGCAACAAGGAGGTGGCATCCATCAAAGTGAACGCTGGAGCGTGAGTGCGGCCAGTGGGGCAGGGACTGGGGGTGCCAAGAGCGGAGGCTCAGCAAGAACCTCCTGGCATAAAACACCTGCATAAACCCCAGGATGTGGAAGGGGGACCCCCTCAGAAAAGGGATGCCTTCCTGCTACCTTTTCCTTTAAAATACAAGCCATTGGGTATTTTCTGTCCCTCTCCTCCCAAGCCCAGCAGAGGGATGGGATGGGATGGGATGGGATGGGATGGGATGGGATGGGATGGGATGGGATGGGATGGGATGGGATGGGATGGGATGGGATGGGATGGGATGGGATGGGATGGGATGGGATGGGATGGGATGGGATGGGATGGGATGGGATGATTTGGCTTGGGGCTCTGAGCCAAGGGTCTGCCTGCAGGTGGGTGGCATACCAGTACCCAGGATACAGGGGCTACCAGTACGTGCTGGAGCGGGACAGACAGAACGGCGAGTTCAAGAAGTACAATGAATACAGCAGCCAGGCCCACACCAACCAGATCCAATCCATCCGCCGTGTCCAGCACTGAACAGGGGCAGGGCTGTGTGCCCTGCAGCCTCCAGGCTGCTGTGCAATAGACCTCTATCCGGTAGCAAATAAAGGCATTTGTCAAAAAAAAAGAGTGCTCCTGCCTCTGCTCTGCTCCTCTGGGGGCTGCCATGCTGAGAGGACCATGGTGGCAACCTGGAAGGTTTCCCCTTCCCCAGGCAGTTTTGGGCTCATGGCCAGCTCCACCCTGGGCTGAGCTCTCTGCACCCCACCTCTCCATGCACAGTTCCACTGCTGTGGCATCTGGCTGGAAAAATGGGAACTTACTGGGTAAAGAGAGTGCTGGGAGAGGGCACCAGGAGGGTTGTGCCCTGGGAAGAGGCAGGTTGCACCCTGGGTGCTCCTCCCAGGATCAGTGCCAGGGAAATTGATTGCTACAAAGTCTGCAAACTCAGGATCCCCTTCCTCTGCACCCCTCTGGAAGAGAGAAGGGGGTCCCTGCCTGCTGCAGGTCTGGGAAGGAGGAAGACCATAGGGTTCATCTGGGGCAGGACGGGACTCTGGCAGCACATGGGGCAGCCACAATTGTGTCAGGTCTGGGGGCACAGTTGTGTCAGATTTGCTGCTGGCACAGAGGGGCTGGGGGGGAGGCAGATTGTGCAGGAGTCAGGGGAAGGAGGTCTGTGTGCAGTGTTCCACAGGTGGTAGGGGGCTTGGCTTGATGCTCTCAGGCGTGTGTGTCCTCCCCCAGCTTTGCCACGCCAGCATATCCGTGCCAGCATCCGGCTCCGGGACACTGGGAGCCCCACCCAACCTCCTCCTCCTCCTCCAGCACCCTTTCCAGCCTTCTCCTTTTCCATCTGGCTCTGAACCCGCCTGGGGTGCAGGCTGCCCATCCCGAGGTGCTCCCTGCACCCAGCACATTGCTTCCTCCTCCTCTCCCCCTCCTCCTTGTCTTCTATCCTGCTCTGGCACCCCAAAGCCCTCCTGGGGCTCAGGCTTTTGGTCCTGGGGCTCTCCCCACACCCAGGACACGGATGCATGGTGGAACAGCTCTGAGTGACTCAGATGCCTGGGTTCCCTGCTGCCCACCCTGCTGAGAGCATGCTTGGCCCTGAGAAAGGGAGTGTCCCAGAAGGCTGCTGGGAGACTGGGTTGGGGGTCAGTCTGTGCACACCCCTCACCCAGCAGTGTGCAGAGACCCCAGCCCTGGTGTGTGTGTCAGCATGTGTGTGTGTGTGTGTGTGTGTGTGTGTGGGTGGGTGTGTGTGTGTGTGTGTGTGTGTGTGTGTGTGTGTGTGTGTGTGAGCTGCACATGACTGAGCACACAAGTGTTTCCCTGCATGCCCCCTCTCCCCTCCAGCCCTCAGTCGCTGTGCAGAAGACCCCAGCACCTGTGTATCCCCATCCCACATGGCATCCCGGCTGCGGAGTGCCCCCAGCCCGCCCCTGTCTCCTCCGTGTCCCCAGTGGCCCCACCCAGCACGGCCTCTCCCCCAGCACAAACACATTCCGGCACACCTGGCCAGGTGCAGCCAGCCCAGGGCCACGTCAGCTCGGCTCCGCTCCACAACGCCGGCTCACAGGTGAAGCTTTCCCGGGCGCTGCACATAGGGCTGTGATGGGGGGGTAGGGGTGGGCTGTCGGGGTCACTGTAAAGTCCAGGGTCTTTATTGCCCCATCTAGGGTGGGAGGAGAGCACTGGAGTGGGGGGTGGGGGGCAGACTGCCTCCTGCAGCCGGAGGGACCTGCAGCTGCTTCCAGCTCTGTGTTCCACATGTCTGGGCTCCATCCCCAGTAGCCCCACAGACCTGAAACCTCATCTCCTGGATTCCCCTCAGACCCACAGCCCAGTCCCTTGTTCCCCCATGGACATGGGCCCCTGTTTCCTGGATTTCTCGTGTACCCTTCTTTCCTCATCCTCTGGGTCTGCCCCATGAACCTGGGGTCACATCACTCAGGTCCCCAAGGCTCCAGATGGACACAGGACTTGCCAGCTCTTAGGATCTGACACTCCCTGTCCTTCTGCACACCTCTGACCCCAGATCACTCAAAGACCCCAGTCCCCTTACATCTCACTTTATGCCCTCTGCCCATTGCATTTCCCAGGGACCCAGGCATCTCCATCCCCAGTGCTCTCCAAAGCACTCCCTTCTCCAGCTCCTGTTGCCCTAAACCTATTTCTCAGCCTGATCCCTACCTCACCCCCACCCCCTCCCCACTCTGGCCTGATGCAATGTCCCTCACTCCAGACCCCCCCTCCATGCCCTCCACCATGCAGGTTTGCTGCAGGAGTACCATGGTCACCTGGGCCACCAGAAGAGGAGGGGTTGGTGGGTCTGGCACTCTCCCCACCTCACCCCGCTGTCTCCAGGGCTTGTTTTCCGTTGCCTGAGGTTTGTTTCAGTGACTCAGGCAGCGAAAGCAAGTCTGGGAGGCTGCGGAGCCACTGCTGGGAGAGCTGCACTTTGAGGGGCGGGAGAGGAGAGGGATGCAGGGAGCAGCCAGGGCTGCTGGGCTCTACAGAGCTGGACACCCCACTGACAGGTTCAGGGGAGCTCAGGAGACAAGTTGGGGGAAGAGAGGCTTTTTAAGGGCTGTTACCTCCAAGCAGGATTGCTGGGGAATTTCTGGAGGAATACCATGGTCTCTGCTCATGTCTCCCCTTGCAAGCATCTGCTCTTTGTCCGTGATGGAAATGGGCAGCAGAGGTGGAACGCCTGGAGCAGAGGTGGAGCTAAGTAACCAAGGGACCCCCTGTTTCCTAACTTTGGACACCCCCTGCCAAGAGGAGACATCACCTCTGTTGGGCTGTGCCACCCCGATTGAGCATAGCTCCCCTTGGGCTGCAGCTTCTTACCGAGGGCAGGCATATTTTGGCTGCAGTATAAATAATAACTGTGAGTCTGTCATGGCTGTATCCTGATTTCCACCAGGTTCATATCTTGCAATGATCACTTTCCAGAAAGGCAGCTAAATCCAGCATAAGAGCTCATCCTTTTGCCAGACGTCAGTGAAACACTACAGAAGAAGTTGTGAGCTTGGCTGTATGGTGTTGGCCTCATGGAGTAGAACTGGTGACAGCTGCTGACACACTGCCTGACTGCCTCAAGTTCTGGGATCCTGTGGAGGGTCCACTCCTGGCCTGGGGGACAGAGACTCTGACAGCACCCCAGAAGTGCATATAACATCTGGAGCCATGGGTGACAGCGAAAAACCTGGCCAGATGTGCCTTTTTTGAGCTGGTATCACCTTTCTTCATCATAAGTTTCTCCATGAAATGTCCTCCTGTCTTCAGAATGTGCCCAGCGCTGCCCAGGACAAGCAGATGAAGATGGGGCCATCATGGTTTGTCTGGGTGTTGGGGTTTTCCCAGCTTCTATGGATGCCAATAAAGATGTGCAGCAGGTTGGGACAGGGCTGGGCGCTGTGGGATGGTCACAGGCTTAGCTGTCCCTGGGGCTGGGACTATTCAGAAGAGCACAGAGGAGCCAGGGAGGTGGCAGAGGTGTGGGATGACCTGGTGCCACCAACTGCTGGAGATGCACTTACCCACCCCAAAACTCTGGGCACTGTGAAGGAACCCCACGACCATTGTCCTGGAGGTGGAGGGACTTGGCGTGGACTCACCTGGCCCACCCCAGCCCGACTTGTGAAGTGCAAGGAGACCCCAGCAGGGCGCTGAAGATGCTGGAGCCGGGGAAGGGGCAGGCACGGAGCCCACGGCCAGCAGCAGGGCGGCTCGCAGAGCCAGGGGACAGAGCCGGTGCTGCCGCCGGTGCCGTGCAGCCAGGGCAGGGCTCCGGGGCGATGCCGGCCATCGGCGGGGCAGCGAGGAGATGCCGCTGGGAGGCCGGGCCCGGGCGGTCTCCGGGCAGTGGCCGGGCCCGCTCCCAGCTGGGATGTCAGCGCCGTGTTTGCGAAGAGTTAAGGAGGCGGAAGAGGCAGGAAGCGGCCCGAACCGCTCTCCATAGAAACCCGCGGCCGTGATTAAAGTCTGATGCGGGCCCGATAGCGGGGGGAGGGAGGGGGGGGCAGCGCCCGCTTTAATTACAGCGGAGGAAATTGCTGGAGCCGGGGCCCCAGCCCCTGCGAGTTGCCTGGAAACTCCCCCTTCCCCCGCCTCCCCCGGCCCCTGCCCGTCCCCTGCCCGTCCCGCTGCCATTTATTCGCCATCAGCTGCTCCCTGATAAAGTGGAATAATAATAATAATAATAGGGGCAGGAATATTAAAACATGCAGCCCGCGGGCCGCCCCCACAGCTGCCATGAGACACGGCACCGGAGCGGTGCCACTGCTGCTCAACATGTACCTGCCAGGTACGGGCGGATCCCCCGGCCGCTGCCCCGCCGCAGCGCCGTGCCCCGCACAGCGCCCAGCCCCTGCCCACCCTGTCCCGCTGAGGCCCTGGGGCTCTCCTCTGCCCCGTCTCCTTCCAGCGCCCACCCTGTTATCCCCTCTCCCTCTGTCCATTCTTTCGTCCTGCCTTCCAGCACCACAACCATCCTTTCCTTCTTCCTTTCAGCTGCCCACACCCGCACACTCATCTTCCCGTCCTTCATCAACCCACCATCACCCTGTCCTTCCATCTCTTCATCTACCCTTCTTTTCTTCCAACTCATCTTTCCACCCACCCACCCACTTTTCCCCTGTGCTTCCATGCATCCTTCCATCCCACCCACTTGTCCCTGCATCCCCCTTTCCATCCCTGGTATTAGCCAACCCCTCCATCCACCCAATGTCCCTTCCATCAGCCTGTTTTCCCATCATCTTATCCATTACCTGCCCTTCCATCCATCGATCTCTTGCACTTTCTTTCCTCCACCTACGCACTCGCCATCGTCTCTTCTGTCCTTCCATCCATTCACCCATTTCCTTCCTTCTATCCATCTATCCATTTCTCTCTCCTTTCCACAGCAGTCCATTCCCCAAATGCCGACAGACATCCTTGCTTCCACCTGCCGCTCCTGTCACCCATCCTGCCACCCACCCGCCTCTTCTCCCTCTCCCCCTGCCCCACAGCTCTCTCCCTCGTTCCCTTTCTCCTCCCTACCCCAGCCCACGGGATCGTCTATTCCTATTTAAAAGCTTCCCCGGCTGGGTCGGAAATCGGATTTCCTTTTTCCTGGACGCGTTTCCTGGCTTCGCCGCAGCGGCGGGGCAGGCAAGGGGGAGCGGCCGGGGGCTGCGGGGACGCTGCCCGCGGGTGGGCGCTGGGCTGTCGCGGTCCCGCCTGGTTCCAGCCCTCCCTCCACACCAGCCGCGTCCCCTCTTCCCCCCAGATCCAGTCGGGGAAACTTTGTTCAAAGACGGGAAGAGCCAGGCGTGGGGGTCTCTCAGCCCCGGCGTGCAGAAAGGTAAGAGCACCGCTGCCCCTTCCCCTGGACAGGCCCCGCTCCCCTCGGCCGGCACGGAGCAGGGGCACTCGCATTCTCTCTTGGAGACCCTTTCCCGTCCTTTGCCGGGCACAGTTCCCAGCCCCGTTCCCTCCGGCTGGGAGCATCCCGCCGCCTGTTCCCACGGGGACGGCGGCCAAGCCCGACGGTCGGACGCTCCCGTCCGTGGCATCAGAGAGATGCGGGGAACGCATTCCCCCGAGCCCCGCAGCCCGGAGAGTGCAGGCTCCTAACTCCGGTCTCCCAGGAGCTCCGGGACATCTGACGGGAGGGAGCTGCCAGCCATCCCGGGAGTGGGGTGGGCTAATCCGGGCTCGGGAGATCTGTTCCTGCGAGTGGAGAGGAGAGTTGAGACATTATTCGTGAGGGAACTGCCAGTGAAATGCTGGGATTCGGACAGGGCTCGGGAGTGATGTGTCCCCGGGAACTGGAGTCATCTATCTGGAACAACCCACACAGGGGCTACAGGCACCGGCCAGTGCTGGCCAGGGAGCAGCACCTGGAGCTCCCAGTGCTGGCCAGGGAGCAGCGCCTGGAGCTCCCAGTGCTGGCCAGGGAGCAGCCTGGAGCTCCCAGTGCTGGCCAGGGAGCAGCCCGGAGCTCCCAGTGCTGGCCAGAGAGCAGCCTGGAGCTCCCAGTGCTGGCCAAGGCACATTCTGGAACCTGCTTGGGAGTGCAGCAGCACTGGGCATTGTGGAGACAGCACTGTAGTGTTTGGGCCATGTAGCTTGCATCTTTGCTAGGAGGCAGGGACTCCTCTGAGCAGGAAAAATGGAGCCCTGGTTTAGTGGTGGGAGGGGGAGAAAGATGGAACTGGGGGAATCCTTCTGTCTCTGCACTGCAGGCTCTGCCCAGCCACACTCTAAACACTGTGCCGCAGTGAGAAGAATCTTTTTGGATGCTTGGATATTTCGTTAGGGAGCGCTCAGGTGCATTGTCATGGCCCCTGCAGCAGGCAGGATTGAGCCTCACTACCCCACCCAGATGCACCCATCAACACCTCGCTGACCTCCTTGCATGGGGTGGACCATCCTTGCATGGGGTGGAACATCCACAAGTGGGAGATAGCTGGAGGCCAGGGTGGGGGCTGTGGTGATGGAGAAGAGGCAAGATGCACCCTAGGGAGGAGAGATCACCTGCCTTGGTCCCAGAGTGGGAAATACAACACCTTAGAAAGACCTGGGTTCCACTGCCTGGATCAGGATCTGAGTGGGTTTTGGTGGAATGGGAATGGAGAGGGAATGGCTGTTCCCTGCTTCTTCTAGAGCAAGATACAGGGAGCACTAGATAAAATAGGTGGGTCTAAAACAAGCAGAACAAGACTTTTTTTGTGGGAAATGTAGCAGAGCTATAGGACTTGTTACTGAGATCATGGGTGCTAAACCTCTGTATAGGATCCAAGCACCTTTAGATAACATAATGTTAGAAGAGAGCAGGGATAACTGCAAAGGCACATCCTCTGCTCTGGAAAGAGACTGTGCTGCAAGGACTGGCACCAGGAGCAGGGATGTGCAGGGGATGCTGCTCCGAGGAGGCAGAGTGGGGTGTCTAGGTAAGTGCAGGGCTGCTCTGCAGGGTGGCCACGTCCCAGCAGTAGGACTCCTCCTTGCCCAAGGTCCAGATTCCTTCTTCTCTCATGACCTCTGGCCAGACTCCATGGAGCATGTCCTTGTGCCTCACCATGGGCGTGTCGAGGTGTGCCAGGCTCCAGGGTATGCACAGCCTGGACAGGGGCACCATGGGCACCCACTGAGGATACTCCTTGCTGCAAGCTGCAGATGCAATGGCCATGGCTCAGGGAAGACATTTTTCCTCTGGAAATAAGGAACATCATTGATGCCTGATTCAAAGTCACAGTAGGTCATGCTGTGTCCTTGTCTCTCCCATCCCTACACCTGTCTGTGTCTCTCTGTGGTGTAGTTCAGATCAGTGTTGCACCCTGACTTGAGCTGACCATGGAGACATCTGTGCAGGGCACAGTGTCCCTAGAGCAGGGGCTGTGAGACCAGCCCGCTCTCAAGCAGACATGGCAGTGGGGAATGTTTATGTTGGGATAGATCTGGGTTCTGCCAAGATATGTCCTTCTTGGGGCTGCCTATAAAAGAGCAAGGCCAGGTCCTCCCACAAAAACAAACAAGCAGATATTCATCTTCAGTGGTGTGTGAATGTGGGTGGGAGGGATGGGGAGACTCTGGATCCAGACCCACTGCAACCCGTGTTGGCCTCTGAGCACTCCTACTCCATCTCAAGGTTCAGGGGCATCTTCTCCTCACATCTGTGAGTGTAGGATGGGGTTGGGATGTTGCAAAGGAGACGTAATCCTGTTACCATCTTATGTGTCTCTAAAGCAGGGAAGATGCAACGAGGCGCAGCCAAAACCTGGGTGTGGGAGAGGGCAACATAACAGTGGGTCAATCAAGGGGACTGGGGCACATCCTGTCCCTCACCTTGTGCCCTGGGAGGGAGCTTTAACCTCTCTGGGGCCCGGCCTTGCAGGCAGCGGGCAGATCCAGCTGTGGCAGTTCTTGCTGGAGCTGCTTTCGGACCGGGCCAACCTGAACTGCATCGCCTGGGAAGGCACCAACGGGGAGTTCAAGCTGATCGACCCTGACGAGGTGGCGCGGCGCTGGGGCGAGCGGAAGAGCAAACCCAACATGAATTACGACAAGCTGAGCCGGGCGCTGCGCTACTACTACGACAAGAACATCATGACCAAGGTCCACGGCAAGCGCTACGCCTACAAGTTCGACTTCCATGGGCTGGCACAGGTGTGCCAGCCAACCACCCCCGATCACACTCTCTACAAGTTCCAGGGCAACCTGGCACCGCTGCCCTTCTCGGGCATCTCCAAACTCAACCTCATGACCTCGGGAGTGACACCAGCTGGCTTCTCCTACTGGCCTGGCTCCAGCCCGTCCCTCTACCCTGGGCATGGGCTCCAGCCCTCAGCCTCGTTCAGCGCCATGGCAGCCTCCCACCTCAACAACATGAACAACCATTACCATTAGGGGCTCAGCTGTGCCAAGTGGATGCTCCATGTCCCTGGCAGCACGGGGCTGTGGATTTGGGAAGCTCAGCAGGGGAGGGATGGGGGATGGGATTGTGCCCTGCTCTCACTTGCCCCCCTTTTATGTTTGATGGGGTGTGGGGGGTGCTTGCAGGATAGCTGGATTGATTCTCTGATGTTGGTGGCTGGAGGAGGGAAGCCATCTAAATTTAAGATGAAGAAGTATCCATGATCCTGGGAACAGATGTGGATACCTAAAGCAGGGTGTGAATGGAAGGAAAAACCATGGGCTCCTCTCCTGACAGGGACATTGCCCCACCTTTCCCTTGCAACATGCTGCCCATGCCATGAGTGCCCTTAGCTCTGCCTCCAGCCTGTGCCCGCCCTCCCCGTTTCCTGCAGAGAGGAGTCAGGACCTGGGGTCCCAGGGCAGCTGTGTCCATGAATGAGGGTCCCTCTGAGCAGGGACAAGGAAAGGAGACCTTCCTTGACTACTTGGTCCCCTCACCTTTGTCTCCAAAGGCTTTGTTTCCTCCATCTCTCCTATACCTGAAGGCAGCTTCTTTCAGACCTGAGGAGAAGCCTCTGTCTGGAGAGCGGATGCTTTCTATGGGTTCACTCAGACCCAGGGCAGGGCTCTGAGGCTGGAGGTGCCAGGGACAAGTGTGGGGCTCACTTCCAGTCCTCAGGGCAAGGCCAGAGCCTGGAGGCAGCATAGCCTGGTCTCTGCAGCTCTGCCCTCTCCCCAGTGCCCAAGGATCACACCACAGACAGTCCCTGACACCCTGCACATGAGCCTGTGTCCTGCTCATCATTTCCTACATTAATGTTCCAGTTTTACTCCAGCTTTAGCCCCTCACACACAGGGCTTGGTGGGACACTCTCCATAAATGAGAACATCCAGGGACAAGGCAGCGTGGGTGGTGGAGCAGAAGAAGGGATGACAGCAGGCCTGGGAACACCAGGCATCAAGGGGCAGCCCTGGGTCTCTTCCCCTGGGTTCAAGGAGCTGCCCCCATCCTCTGGAGCAGGACTTTGGCCCAGTGGATGCACAAGAGCTGGGCACGCTGAGCTCTGCACTGGCTGGGGGTGGGATTGGTATTAAATAAACCAGAGAGGTGCTGTGACCTGTGTCTTCTCCTGTCTGAAGGGAGCTGGTGAAAGGGGGAATCACTCAGCAAATCCTCTCCTATCTGAGCCAGAACACCTTCAGGGCTGGGGTGGGAAGGATGTGGCCATTGTCTGCATCATCTGTTCTCCAGGCATCACCTCTGGTTCTTACAATCCCCAAGAGATGGGACAGGGCTGGAAACCTCTGCATTACTTGAGACTCCCCTTCAGGAAAGCCGCATATGCTGTTCCCAGGCTCCCAGGCTTGCAACAGGGATCACATTGGCTGTGCAGGGGGAGTCATGCAGCTCCCCAGCCCATGGAAGGAGTGGTCAGCCCCCACTTCATCTCCCTTCATGCCCCAGACCGCAGCAGTTCCCAAATCTGGGGGCTCCATGCTGCCCCTTCTGCATCCCTCCAGGGTCTGGTCACTCTCACAGCTCTGGTGGCATCTGCTCCAATGCATCCCTACGGCCCTAATCAGCTTAAGGGAGTGGGATCTCGTGTCCTCTGGTCCTCTGGGGAGGGCTCAGGCTGTGAAGTGGGGGGGGCCTGGTGCTGCTGGCAGAGAACCCATGAGAGCGAAAGGGACTGGGGGCTAGGCTGTCCCTACCTCCAGGGTTTCCAAGTGTTGCACAGACCAGTTCCCAGGGACGGCAGGAGGTGAAGTGAGGGGGAAAAGGAGTAGTTACCCTATGCAACCAGCACGGAGATAGGCTGGAGGCATCCCCTGCCCTCAGGTTTCACTTTGCAAGGACAAAATGGGGGAAATGGCCACAACTGGCTCCCTCGGAGACGGGCAGAGGGCTGTGCCCTTGCCGGGGGAGCCTGCTTCGGGGCTTAGGTAACTGCGTGACGCAGGGCAGGGCACGGATTAAGGGATGTGGGTCACTAGTAGCTCCTCCCTTCCCCCCCTTCCCGTCCCTCTGCCAGGGTCTGCCCAGGGGAACCCGCCTCACGCCCGGCCTTGCAGCCCGGATCGCTGATGGATGGGAGGCGGGACACTGCAGGGAAAAGGAGGATTGACCTTTTCGGGAGGGCTCAGCTGGCACGGTGCCACCGCTTTGTGCCCAGCGCCCAAACCGGGCACCGGCCCTGCACTCCCCGGGGACAGCCGGGAAGGAAACGGGGGGACACCCATGCGGGGCTGCACCGGCGATGCTCTTGCCTGCCTGAGGATGCAGCCGGTGTCACCATGGCAACTCGGGATGCTCCCGTGCCCAGGCCCCGCGGGGACCCACCTCCCCTCACATGTTGAGCTCATCGGAGGGCTGAACAGAGCACCACCTTCACCCAACCCAGCCTCCCCCCTCCCCAGAGCCCTGTCTGACCCAATCCACCAGCAGTGCTGCTTTCTGCAGGTTTCTTCAGTCACCAAAATCACCGTCTCGGAGCAGACTGCAGCAAAATCCTGCCAATGGGCAAGCAGGGCCGGGCCCAGCCCAGCTCCCCGTGGAACATCGTCCCTGGCTCTGAGCAGGGGTGCCCAGCCCGGGGGCAGATGGGGGAGCACCGTGTCTGGCTGTGGGGTGCTCCAGCTGTTGGGAGCCTGTTTTGTGTGGCTGACAGCTGCACCCAGTGCACCTATGGGTTCCAACCTACCTGTGGGGAGTCCTTGGGTGCCCTGTGTAGGGTGAAATGGGGAACACAGTCCCAAAGGGCTTCAGCCTGTGCTGGGAAGACTGAGGGAGCAGAGCACATGGCCGAGCAGCTTCTTCTGCTGCCCTGTGATTAAAGGAAGAAGGATATTTTTTTTCCTACTAAAAACAAAACAAAACAAAAAAACCCAAAAAAAAAAAACCCAAAAAACCCCGACAAATGTATCTTTGTATCTGGCCTTACTCAGCTGGCAAGAGGGCTGCCCTGACCTCAGCTTCTCGCCAGCATGACAGGGGGACCACTCCAACTCCTCCAAAATCTTCCAGCCCCCCTGTAGGGTATCAGAGGGGGAATGGATTAGTTCCTCTCCTATTTCAGCGAAGTCATGTTGCCACTTTCTTCATTTCTCATGCTGGGAAGAGCCTTTGCAGTACAGCCAGACCATGTCTGCCCTGGGGGACACAGTCTGCCTCCCTGCCCACTCCTGCACCCTCTCCAGCTTTCCTAATTCCCACCTACTTCCTTCTCTCCTCATCCCAGCTGCACTGGCTCCTCAGCCCCCTACACCCAAGCTGCTGACTCACATCCTCTCTCCAGACACCACCTTCTTTTGGCCTGGCTCCCTGCAAAGTGCTTTGTGACTTAGTGTGGCTCAGCCAGAGCCTGCAGGTGCAGGCAGTGAGGCTCCAAAACCCCGTGTGAAGTCCCTCCAAGAAAACAACGGTGAGGCTTCCACAAGATGCTTTTCCCTCAGCAACGTGCTGAGGGCTGGGGCTGTACTGCCACCAAAAACCCAAACCTTGTCCCTGCTGCCACCACCTCTCTGGTGTGCCCATCAGGGGTGGCCAGGGAGAGTGTCCTGGTGCTGCTGCTGCCCAGCTGTACACTGAGACCTTGGTGTGGACTTTGCTGAGGGCAGGAGCTGAGTGGCAGGAGGGCTGGATTAATGCACTAATTCCAGATTATGCTCTAATGCAGGCCTTCTGATGAGGGAGCAGTCCCTGTTCCAGCCCAGGGGACACTCACTCCCTGGGCCAGACTCCCCACATCTGCCCTGGTCACAGCTTGGTTCTGCCTGGCTGTCCCCTAAGGAGCTAAGTCCTCAGAAGTGATGAAGGACTGTGAGACAGGCAGGGGACACAGCACAGGGAAACCTCCACACTCAGCTCTCAGTGAGCTGGAGGTATGCAGCCCTGGCCTCTGCCTTGCCAGCTCTGTGGCAGAAGGATTAACCAAGCAGGGCTTCAAGTTAGCCAGTTCCCCTTCCTCACCTGCCCCAGGTTCCTGCATCGAGCTGCTTCCAGTCTGTGCTCCTCACTCCCAAACACATCAGCCAGGCAAGACCACAGGCCACGCTTTGGCTCCAGTGGATGTTTGCCATCCCACCTCTCTCAGTCCCGTGCCTTCCCCTGGGCCACCCTAGGCACAGGCAGAGCTCTTGCAGCCTTCCACCCAACCTGGACGTGTCTTCCATCAGATGAGACCCTGTGGCACCTTTCCCTGAGCACAAATATCTCATCAGCGAGTTTAGTCTGGGACCCTCTGACCCTCTCTCTGCCATTTGCTGCCATCTCCCTGGGTCATTTTGCCCACGTGCTCCCCCACAGGCACCCCGTTAGCAGCTGTGACTGAAGTGCCATGGAGCAGAAACCTGCACCCACAACCATCCCCATCTCAACACAGCAGCAGCAGCCCAAGGCTGCAATGGAGCCAGCGTTTGAGTGGCTCCCACAGCGGCAGAAGAGACCTCCCACCCCCCTCTGCCTGGAGGAACAGCATCCATCATCCTTGCAGGCAAAAGAGGAAAGGCTTGTGCAGAAAGCTGGGCCAAGGCAGGTCCTTCAGCAGCCAAGCAGGTGTTGGGTCTGCATCATCCAGATCATTTTCCTCCCATGGAGCATCTCCAAGTCATTCTGGGGGATGGTGACAAGTCTTAATAGCAAAACCATGGCTTCCCTGCTGTTTGTCTGACATGGAAGAGGCATGGCTTGCCAGGCTGGCTGCTCCAGCTGCCTATCAGCTCTCCCTGCCCCGGTGCTATGGCCAGCTCATCCAGCCCATGGAGTTTGCTCCACAGACAGAGCAGTCAGACAAGGAAAGTCCCATTGAGCTTTTTCCATTACTCCAGGTAGAAACTCCCTTATTCACATGTGACTATTCATCCCTGGGATCCACTGCCACTCAGGGTCCATCGAAGAGCCCCGTGCACCTTTGGGAAGGAAGATACACCCACAGTGATGCATGGAAAGGAGATGTGTTGCTGCTGGAGGAATTTCAGACTAGGAAAATACTGGGACCTCTCACCTGGATCCCTGTGTCGATTGATCACTGATTTGGCCCTGTTGCTCTACCTCCAAGTCCCAAACCCGATGTGAATCTGCCCATCCCTGCAAGCCCAGACACCGCTGGGCCCTGTGGCTGGCAGCACAGGGGGCTGTCTCACTTCCTCACCGCTCCTCAGGAAGCGCTGCGGGGATCACCACTTTGGACACAAGCTCTATCCATTCCCCTTGCTGCTGTCCAATAGCTGGCTCCTGAGTCCAGACCATCAATCCTGCAGCAGCACAGGAGTCTGGCATGTCAAATCACGGTTTTAGAAAGGCGAAAACCAAGCTTCCTAGCCTGAGATTCTCCCCCTCAGTACCCAGCCTGACTTGTGTTCTCTCACATGTCTCCTTTGCCTTGGAGGGAGCAGAAAGCTCCCAGACAAGGTAAGGTTAGTGCTACCCCTGCCTTGCTCCCCCCAGCAGCTCTTCAAGGTCCTCTGGGGTAGAGAAAACCAGACATGCCTCCCTCCCTGTCTCCCTCCAGTAAGACTCTGGCTGAGCCAATGATGTATATTTAAATGCATGGGAGCATCTAAGCTCCTCTCTCATTCCTTGACATTTCCAGAGACTCCAAGCTGTCTTCAATTACCAGTCTGCAATTAGCTCTTCCTAAATCCCCCAGTGAGGCCTAGGACTCTTAATCAATGAAATACAAAGGAGGAGGGAAAGGACAAGGCCTCACTGCAGCTGGAAGCAACTTAAAAGGCTGGGGCTTGAAGCTGGAATAACCCTGTGAGTGTCTCTAAGGAGATCTGTAGGGTGGGAACATCCTCCAGTGCTGGGAGGTTGTTCAGCTCTGGGAGGAGACTCCATAAAGCCCTACAGCAGGGAATAGAAATCACTGGACAAACACCACAGCTCAGGGTGGAAATAGCAGGTACCAATGGCTCAGGTGTCACCCTGTGATGCAGACCACCTTGCTGTATTCATCTCACTGTGCCTCAGTTTCCCTTGCTGTGAAACACTGGTACGGGAGAGTCAGGGCTCTCCCAGAAGCCCCATAGGAGCTATAAGGCTCCAATTCCACCAGTTGAAGCCAAAGTTACCCTTCCCATGACAAGATGTGGGTATGGCCAAAGCTGGGGCGGGTTGGGAATGCCTTGTGGCCCAGACAGCTCGCTACAAGGTCACATGAATGTCAATCTAAAGGCACAGACAAGAGCATCCATTAGGAGAGGGAGGACAGGAGCAGCATCGGTCTTGTTATGTTTACACAGCCACGGAAAAGCCTCGCACAGCGCCCTGCCAGGTCAGCCCCCGTCACAGGGACATCTGTGCTGTCTTCCTGGCAGCTCAGCTTTGCCTGAATGAGCCAGATTGGGCCTAATTAGCAGCTCTGCTGATGCACACAAAGGTAGAGAGAATCCAGCTTACCCTCCATGACCTGCAGAGCCAGCACAGCTCTTCCCAGCAGAGGGGAGCCCAAATGCCTGGCTCAGAGGGGCTGCAAAGCACTGGATGCAGACCCCAGCCAGCGAGCATGTGCAGCAGCTTCTGCTAAAGAAGTCCTGGAAAATTCAGCACCATGAAGCGTAGCAACCAGTTTTAAAAAAGGCAAAGCTTTCTCATGCTCCACCCCTCTCCCTGGAGGTCTGCAGAAGCACAGGGCTGGTAACAGGGAAAACAGCACAGTTCCCACAGCCTGCTGCTGCCACCAGAAAAAGGGAGCCCAGCCCTGCAGAGCAGAGGTAGGGAGGAGTGAGGTGAGAGAAGGCATAGCTTCAGGAAAAAGAAAACTAAATTTTAAAAAAATGAAGGTGACATAAACTGTGGCATCCTGTTTAAATTCAGCGTGGCAGACAGGCATCAGGAATTTCCATCTGGAATGGAGGAGGCCAGGAGAGCTCACAAGGGTCCAGGAGACACTCAAGTGGACCAGGACTGGCCTTGGGCACAAGGAGGGGTGAAAATTTGACCCCCAAACTCACACCAGGGAGAAAAACCCCCTTTGGGAAGCAGGGCCCCCTATCCCTCTTGGGGAGGAGTGGGTCATGACCAGGAGCTTGGGGTGTTACCCCAATTGCCCTTGCACCCCACAGCCCAGCAAGTCCAGGAGCCACTGCCAGGCCCATCCAGGCCACCTCTTTATTCTCCAGTGAAGCAAAGCAAGAGGAGAGGAGACCCCCCCCCCCCACCTCCCATAGCAGACCCCCTCCGCTTGGACACCCTAGGCCACCTCTGGCACGGACCCCTCTTCCTGCAGCAAGCCAAGGAGGGGGAGGCATCACTCCCTGTTTCGGGGGGCACACGGGGGGGGATTTACCCGAGGGGAGGGGCGTGGGCGCCCCCCCCAGCGGCTCGAACAAAGGGGTATGCGGGCGGTTCCCGCGGGGTGAGGGGCAGAGTCGCCCACGCTGGGGGAGGGGGTCCATATACCACACGTGGGCGGGGGGGAGGAAGGCATCGCCCACAGAATCCCCCCCAGCCTTGCCCGCAATCCCCGCCTTTGTCTGCTCAGGCGCGGCAGCTCCAGCACCACGGACAGCGCCGGGAGCGCTGCGGAGGCGCGGGGCCCGCACCGAGGGGCTCCTTCACATGCACCCTCTACCTGGGGCGCCCGCCACACCCCAAAATCCCCCCACAGCCCTCCTGCCCCCGGCCCCCACACCCATTTTTTCACCCCTTTTTTCTAAAGAAAGCGCATCCAGGAGCCTCCGCTCCTCCGCAGCCTCCCCCTCCCCCCTTCGCGAGGGTGGGAGCGGCAGCACTCCCCCTCCCCGGTCTTCGCCGCCGCCTCGGTGTTCCGGAGCGCAGCCCCCAGCTGAGGTCGGAGGCGGGGGAGGAGGGCAGCCGGATCCGGAGCAGGGAGGGTCCAAGCAGCGTCTCCGTGGAACTGGCGGCCGGGGAAGGGGGAAGGCGAGAAGGATGCGGGGGCAGGGGGGGGAATCCGACAGTCCTTCGCCTCCCCCGCCCCTCGGTGCGCGGCCCCTTCCGCCCCCGGCGCCGGGGGCCTGGTACCTCCCTAACGGTCCAGGCTGATCGTCCAGTGCTTGGACCCGTCTCCGCCCTCGCCCTCGCTCTTGAGGTCCTGGAAGAGTTGCGTGAAGTAGTGCGGGTCCGCGTTGATTCGCAGCATCTTGGCGCTGAGGCGCTGGATGATGCCCAGGCAGCGCTCCCAGAAGCGCCCCTTGTCTCCCTCAACCAGGAAGGGCTTGAGCGGGTAGGAGATCTCGTTGCCCATGTAGGAGTAGGCGAGATAGAGGCAGGTGAGGAAGGAGGCCTGCAGCTCCGCCTGGCTCCCGATGTCTTCGCCCCGCAGCGCTTCCCGGCACAGCAGGTAGACGAACACCAGGTTGGCCGGGGTGATGAAGCCCTGGTCCTGCCAGCCCTGCAGCAGCAGCGAGCGGTCCACGCTGCGAAACCATGAGATGAGTTCGCCGGGGCTCAGCTCCTTCAGGCGGTAGCAGCGGCGGCACACGAAGTCCCCCAAGCAGCGCAGCAGCTCGCCGGTGGACGCCTGCACCACCACGCGGCGCGGAGATCCCGGGGGGCGGCTGCCGGCCGGCGGCGGTGGCGGCGGCGGCTTTCTCCCGCCGGAGCCCGGGTGCAGCTCCTGCGGCGCCGAGGGCACTGTGGGCACCGGCACGGCCAGCGGGCCCTGCTTGGCACCGTCGGCCGGCCCCACCACCGACTTGCGCAAGTTCTCGCGGTTGCGCTGCACCACCAGCGGGTCGGGCTGGCCCGGGGCCCCCCCCCGGGGCCCCGCCGCCGGGCTTCGGCGTCACCTTCTTAGTGCTTTTCTTCTTCTTGGCCGAGGCGGCCACCAGCCGCTTCCAGGTTAGTGCCGAGATGAGCACGCCGGGGCGCTTCAGCCGGCTCTCGCCCTTGCCCGGCACCCTTCCCGGCGCCTTCTCGGCCAGCAGCCCCCCGCCGCCGCCGCCCTTGCCCGAGGAGGCGGCGGGGGAGAGGGAGAGCACCGTGCCCATGCTAACGCCGAGCGGGACGGGCGTGCGGGGGCCGGGGCGCCGGCACCGCCCATATGAGGCCGGGAGCTGCGGGGGAGGCGGCCCGCACCGGGGCCGCGGTGCCCGAAGATGCTCCGCCGCGCCCGCTCTGGGCTCCGCGCCCGCCGCTGCAGCCAGCCGGGCCCCGCCGCTCCCCGCCTCCCCGCCTCCCGCCAATCGCCGCCGCACCGGCCCCCGGTGCGCCCGCCCCTCGCCGGTGGGCGGTGAGGGGGGAGAGCGCGGCGCGGCCGTGCCCGGCGGCCGCCGCCCCGCCGTGACCTTCACCCATGGGGGGCTCGTTCGGCGCGCCCGCCGGGGAGAACGGGCTGGGACCCGCGATGCTGTCGCAGACCCCCAGCCCTTTGTCTGGGGGTGAGCCCAGAGGACAGGGGACACGGGAAGGGTCTAGGGAGGGCTTCTGAACTCAGCTGTGTCTGCCGAGACCTGCTCTGTTTTCTTACCTACAAGGGGAGGGATGAACCTTCCCAGACCAGCACAGCCCCCTGGCCCGGTGGTGCTCGGGGTACACGGTGGGGAAGAATCCTTTGAAAATGCTAGAAGAAAGGCTGAGGAAGCGTGAGGATCGAGAAGAATGGGTGCACAGAGGGAAGCTGGAGAAGGCTTGGGGTGGGTGCAAGGCTGGCTGTGACTCGGCAGGCAACATGAAAGGTTTAGGCTTGGTGGCTGAGGCTCATTTCTCCTGAGAACCAGCCCAGCCCTGGGCATGGCCACACAGGGAGTCAGAAGGTGCCACGGGGGAGCGCTCCCACGACCTACTGTGCAAGCATGGGGTCCTTCACCCACCCTGCCTCTTCCCGCTCAGCTGTGGAAGGGAGATTTACCACCAGGCTGACAGTCACCAGTATCAGGCAGCAGTCAGTGACCTCAGAGAAACAGGATGAGACCACCTCCATGTTCCCAAGGCAAGACCAGTCAGCTCTGCTGCCCAAAGCTCCTGAACCCATAGGGAAGGAGGGGAGGGAAGAGATGCTGCATTTCTACATCTTTGCAAATGGTGTGCGATAAACCAGCCGTGTGCATGAGCATGGCTGCTGCCTCTCCCTCTATGGATCAGAGCATGCCATCGATGTTGCTGCCTCTCTGCTCCATGCAGGAAGATCCCCCTTGTATTTCTCATGAGCTGCATTCTATGATGGGTGCCAAGCATCCATTAAGAACAAAACATCCCAATTGCAGGGACTGCTCCCACAAGTGAAGCGCTGGGAGAGGCAGCTGGAAAAGGTTTCAGGGGGAATGTCTCAAGGATGCATTTTGATACAGCATTTTATGTGTGAAATGAACACATGTCATTGCCAGGATGTAGCTGCTGCAGGATGGATCCGGGCTAACAGACGGTAATGAATTATCAGCTGGGAGGAGCTAAACCAGCCCACCCTCTCCCTCCCCACTTCCTCCTGCACTGCTGATGCTGGAGGTGTTTGCAAAGAAAGCGCAGACTCAGAGCCATGTTTCAGGCTTCTGGACTGGCCTCCCGATGCTCACTCGGGGCTGACTTGCCCCTCTGGGGGCAGCGGAGAGGCTCTGCCCGCTGGGCCATGGCAGGGAAGTAGAGCAAAGTTTCATTCCCACATACCCTGCACTGTGGCCAGCCGCCATCCCTGCAGTGGCGTCTGCAAAGAACAGGCACATGTACACACAGACCCTCACAGGCAGAGGTTTGCTTTGGGAGTGGCCAGAACCAAAGTGGATCTAGGCCAGCATTACTTACTCAAGGCCAGCTTAGGCTGGGCTGAAGTAACCATGAGGATTTGGTAAAGGGGTATAAATACAGAGGAGGAAAATCAGGACAAGGTTCTTGACAACAATTAAGTCAGCACCTTTAGATATACATAGCTGGTTTCAACCTAGCCAAGAAGATGGGGGAGTCCTGGGGGGGTATAGGAAGGAGCATGGTGTCTTTGCTCTCTTTGCATGTTTAAGGATGTGGTCTCATCAGAAATCCAGAGCTGAATTTTTCAGGTGAGGAAGCAGAGACCTTTCTGCATACTGCTTGCTCTTGTTGAAGTAAAATTGCTCTCAGATCACTCCACAGGAAGCCTGCCCCACATTGTGTGAGCTCTCCCAGACTGGCTTCCCAGAACTCATTCATAAAGTTTTTTCTTATTTGGCAGTGATGAGCTGGACTGCACAGCAGAGGCCAGAGAATTCCCCAGCCCTGGCTGGGCTTGTGGCTGCTGCACCACTCTGCTCGGTGTGCGTGCACCTCCCGCCACTCCCAGGAGGGGACACTTGGCTGAAGCCTCTTTAAAAATCCAGCTCAGGGCTGTTTAGTGATGCAGCTCGAGGCCTCAGCTATGAGCAGCAGAAAGCTCCAGGGCATTATTCCCTTCTTGCTTGCAGCTTGAGTCCTGCTGCGGCAGCAGCTCTGGGGTAGAGGAGGTCAGCGGGCCCCTAGTCCTTCTCCAAGACAGCATTGCTGACAGCGGCAAGAGCTTCCTGCAAGCACCATGGAATTTCCCAAGCCCCTCAAGAACAGCAGGATGTTCCTTATGTGGGTAAAGAAGCAGCTTTGCAGCTTACATGGGAGGCAGCTGCACTCCCATGTGAAAGAGGAGGATCTTTTCCCCACTCTTTAGTTTTATTCTTCAGTCTCAGGCCCTGAGACTGGCAGGCGATGCTGTAGCACAAGCCACATCCCTGAGACCATCTCTTCTTGGACTCTTTTTGGTCAACTGGTAGGGAAAGGCATAAAGCAGGAGGGAAGGGCAGCATTTCCCTTCCCCAAGGAATTTGGAGTCCCACTCCAAGCAGCAGGAATGACATGCCCCCAGATGAAAGGGAGGAATGAGGTAGATCTTCAGGAACAGTCAGCCTCAAAGCTCTCAGACTTCTGCCCTTGGCTAAATCTTCAGCTATTGGTGGGGTGGATTTGCAGGGACACTGTTGACATACACAGATCCTGTGTGGCTAAGGGTCACTCTAGCAGGGCAACATATATTTCAGTGACCTGTTAGCACCAGCAAAGGGATGCTTTCTTGTCCAAGACCCTAATCTGGGCCATGTAAAGGAGTATCCCTGTCCTGAACCAAGGGTGTTCCAGATGGGAAGTTGAAGCACTCTGGTTCCCAACACAGCTGACTGGGCTCTAGGAACGGAGACAGATGGGAAGACAGCAGCACCAGGGGAGAGAAGCTGGTGTAAAAGCAGTCCTGTAGGTAGTACTGTAAAAGTATTTGAGTGAGCTAGCCCGGAGCTGCAGGATCCACACAGCTCCCTGCAGGTGCCTGGCAGTCTCTCGCTCTGCTTCGCCTGACCTGTGCCTCCCAGCGCACAGAGCTGTGCAGCTCTGTCTGCCTGGCTCAGGTGGGAATGGGCGGGGGGGCAGCTCAGGCCTTGGAGAGGCACATGCCAACTGTCACACCCTCTCCAAACTCTCTCTGGCATCATGTTCCCACGCTGGAACTCTGGCTCAGAAATACAAAACCTCTCAACCTGGGGCAGGGCAGCTTTTCCAGCACCCCCACGACATAAAAGGCATTTTGGAGGGTCCACGGCCCCCTAGCCAGCTTCCAGGCTGCTGACCCATTGGAGAGTGGCTTGTGATGGGTCCTGGCTTAAAGGAGTTGGCACGTCCCCCTGCCTGCTCCAGAATGATGAATGACTATGTGTTTGCTGGCTGGCTAGAGCAGTTCTTTAATAGCTCACTTGCTGTGCCGTGGTCTGTCTGTACTGGCAAAGGCAGGCAGGGAAAGGATTGTCTCCCTGGCAGCAGCTGGCCAGCCAGCTCCTGCCCCGCCTTACCCACAGAGACGGAGCTCAGCCTCAGTACATCTCTCAGTGAGCAGGTCTGACAGCCCTGATGCTCCCCCTCCCCAAGCTGTACAGCAGACAGCCTCCAGCAGAAGTCCTGCCTGTGTTGGTGGCCCTGGGGCTGGGAAGCCTCAGAGGACCCGGCTGGCAGGATGTCTGCAGTGCCCAGGGAGGAAAGCTGGCTTGTGCTTCTGGGTGCCCCAGCCCAAGCATCTCTCCCTTTTCCATTCCTGTTTACCTTCCACCTGTTTCACGTCCCTCTCCCAGCCCTCAAGGGCAGGGGGCTACAGCTGTGGGTCCACCAAAGCTTACCCTGCAATACCTGCTTGGTGTGGCTCAGGCAGGGAGCAGTGCCTACCTATGGTGGCTGCAGGAGCTTGTGCAGCCCCTGCTCTGCAGTCGGCCCTGGATTCACACGGTACAGTGAAGCAGAGCACAGTCAAGTCGAGCAGCCCTGTTGCAGCCCCTGGAGAGAAGCTATTTTTGTCCTGCCATTTGCTGAACGGTGGTGATGGGAAAGGCTCAGAGAGCTGGAGAAATGCAGCTTCTCTGGGTGGAAAACATGCAAGGCAGAGGCGGGCTTGAATCCACATGAAAACGCGTCTCTGCTTTCTAATCTATGGGCAGAGAGAGAGGTCCTAGCACTGGGCTGCTGGTGGTGGAGCAAGGCGGTCCTTGCTGACATAGAGGTGAGGATTGATGCCACCAAGGGGATGCTTCCAGCCCACATCCCTCACAGGACTGCCGCCACTAAAGCCCTTAGGGAAGAACCTCTAAGCGCTGAGTGGAACAGGAAGGAACAATTGGGAAGTACCAAGCATCGCCACGGGCTGCTTAAATGCCTGCCAGCGCGCCTGTAATTCTCGTGGCAGGAGAAAATCCACAGAGCCGCAGGGTGACAGAGGATGATGAAGGGCTGATTATCCTCCCTGCAGCCACTTCAGGCTCCGTCAGCAGGCCCCCTGCCAGCCCGGCACGGGGAGGCGGCGGTGGTCTCTGCGCTGGAGCCCCCGGAGGGCTGAGGCGGAGGCGGCTCCGGGGGGCTCGGGGGCGGCCGGGCCGGGGCTGCGCTGCCCTCTCGCGGCAGCGGCCCCCGCAGCCCTGCTCGGCTCCCCCTCAGCTCCGGGATGTGTTCCAGCGGCTGCGTGCCCAGACCATCACGGTAATCCCCTGCCTCTCTCCGCCCCTCCGCTCTGGGGATGCTGCATGGCTGTCAGGGGCACTGGCATAGCTGTGGGAACATCGCACGGCTCTGGGTGAAAGCCTCTGGTCGCCCATTTGGTGACTGTGATTCCTTCCTGCCTTCTGTCACCTGCACAGACCCAGCACCTCCCAGTCCGCCAGAAGCTCGGAGCACCTCTGGAGTCTCCTGGCAGTGAAAAA